CTTCGCTGCCAAAGCTGTTGCTGCTTGTGACGCAGCTTCGGCGAGGCCAGTCAGCGATGGTGTCATGGTTGTCATGTTGAATTGTGTGAGATGTTGTATTTGGAGTGTAAGTTGCCCTAGAGTCTATCACGGCTACTCTTTTAGCGAGAATGCATCTTGCTTAAATAGTAAAAGCGGATGAGAAATACTATGCTATACTCCTACGGACTCCATCTCCCGGGGATCCCAGAGCGTTGCACTGGATCGTAACTGTCAAGCCGACTGATGACTTCGTTGACCCTAAACGGACAAGTGCTGACGCAAGTAGGAAGCTGTCTTTCCATTTTCGAGCTATCAGGACTAAGGTCGTCTCACTGATACTTGAAGGGTCACAGCAGGCTCAGCTTGCAAGGATATGACGCACCGAAGGACATCCGATGTCCGACGGCATTTGCTAACTGGAATGACTAGTGCCAGCAGGCCTCAAGGCATGATGCAGCCTCGTATCTAGTCATTTACAGATGCAATAAAGTTCACCTGGGAATTTGTCTTACCACAATGACATATCGACATGCATGTGACTTTTGGAAATTTCAATCTGAAGCTGTGGTCAGTTTCATCCTGATCAATCACAGGAGAGTATGAGATGGTGAGAAATTGATGCTTGATGCAACGATGCGTTTACGTATAGAATCCGCCTGGGTTTATTAATTGCCAGTCCCTTCAAATTGAAAGCCATGCCCGCTATCACGAATTGAGGAAGGTCAAGGGGGCCTGAACTTCACCAGCACTCTAATCCTTTGAAGTACCCTGTTTCTTTTCCGACACGGAGGGACCCTCTTCTTCGAAAGTCTCACGAATCAGGAATTTCTCATCGTTGACATGGTGATGTCGAACCCAAAAGATGATGGTCTGGACGAAGAGAGCAATTCCAGGAGCAGCCCAGGCCCACTGTGAAGACTATGTTAGCGAGTGACCAGAGTAAGGACAGTTATACTTACAATAAGATTGGGATCTTTGATGGAAGGAATCAAGATCTGAGCCAATGCCGAAGACAGAGCCTGCATAGCCAAGTTGATCGCGACAACAGTAGACTTCATACCCTCAGGCGCCCTTGCATATGCCATCTCGTATGCCGTGACTGCGGTAAAGAGCTCACCGATAGCCCCCAGCATAACAGTAGGTAGCTGCCACCAGATAGAAACGGGGGACACACTGTCGCAGGTTGAAGCCTGGTATCCGCAAGGTGAGGTTTCATAGACCCTCCACTGGATAACTGCACCGACGATGCTTCCGATGATGGCGGAGATGTAACCGACAGTCATACGACTAATGGGGCCAAACTTGATGTGGTGTCTGTTCAAGAGAGGGTAAAGAACAAACGACATGATGGGCGCGAAGACCATCAGTGTGAGTGGATTGAAGTTGTGAATCAGATCGTTGGGTGCACCTTTGGTAGTCATCGACGCTCCTTGGTTAGACAATACGGTGCCAACACCGCCATTATTGAGGTAGAATAATGGCTGATAGAGGAAGATCTGGCACGCGGAAAGGGTTCTGCGAGCATGCTCTACTGCCTGACTGTCCCAAGAAACTGTCTTGCCCTTCGCAGCAAGGACCGATGGTTTGACTGACTCGAAGAAGTTCTTGGCCCAGACCCTGCCTTTGTTCTCTTTGACAGCTAGCCCGACAATCTTGAAAAAGTTGTTAAGGTCAGATCCCTGAGGCGGTGCGCGCTTGAGAGTCTTGTATCGCCACATGAGCAGCACTGGCAAGAGGATGTAGATGATGCCTGGGAGCAGAAAAGCAAGCCAAAAGCCGACATACTTCTCGATGTAAGTTGTAGCGATCATGAAGAAAGCACCAACGTTGATGCACATGTAGAAGATCAACATGATCCTCTGAATAGTGGTCTCAGGATCAACGATGACACGTTCACCAGACTTGAGTGTCTTGACATATTCTGTCTGGTCGGTGTATTGGTCGACGATGAGAGGAACGACATTAGGCTTGAATAGACCGGCTCCGATGGCGAGAAGAAAGAAGCTGACCATGAATGGCGCAAGCCCGTTGCCGGCTTTGAGAACAGCGGGAGCTGCGCCTCCAACCATGATAACGTGTGCCACGCCGCCGATGATGACTCCATACATGATTGCTCTGAAACGGCCGGTCTTGGTGTCGCCGAGCCACGCACCAAAGATTGGGATGACATAGGCAAGGAAGTTGAACAGGAGAACCATGGCCGAGGCAAACTGTAAGCCTCGGTTCCTGCCATTGAGCTTGGTCAGCCAATAGTTCAGTCACATATCGAAGCAACTTACAAAGCACCAGCATGGCCGTTGGGGTCGTTCTTAGCAACAGCTCCGGCTCCATTGCCTCCCTTTGGCAGCGGAAACTGGAGGAAATTGTTGAAGACTGTCTTGCAACCATAGAATGAGGCTCGCTCTGCAAGCTCAACGATACACAGAAGATATGAAACCCATGGGATACGTCCTGCTATTTTCCGTAATTTCTGTTTCTCTTCGGTGGTCGGGGGTAATCGATCCGAGGTGCTATCGGATAGGGACACGGCATTGGCCTCGGGGTCGAGTGCTAGGCTCTTGTCTTGAGCAGCCTCAACTGAGGTTGCTAACAACAACTCATTAATCGTGCTTCGATTTGGACCGAGGCTACTTACCCATGTTGTAGCTGATGCTGATCGCCCGAACGAAATAGGTTACCTGGGCTTTGGGATCTTGGCGAATGGATGAGACGCTGAAACGTACGGGCTTGACATCTTGTTTATGATGGTTTTGCAACAACATGTTTCGCCCCTGGAGTGATGTCGCCATCATCTCAATCTTCACATCATCGACAAATTACATAAAAAGAGGACCTCCTGTGGGTTATCCATGTTCCAAGCGACCACTCTTGAATGCATTGGGATCTGTTGGTTTGACATACGGGTTTGGTAAGGAGTAGCCAGCATTGTTGGCCATGATGTCGGAGTCGGGCCGCCCCGATCCCACGTTACAGCCTGGGAAGTGGGTGATGAGTTATTAATGCGCAGACTGTCAATCGCCGAACTACCAGGTAGTTGGTGGGAGGAAGTAAAGAATAGTTCGGGGATTCCGAATAAGGTGCGAAAAAGTTGAACAAGACTGGCGTAAACAACGTTGTGATTCGTCTAGAGAGCCTGCATCTTAGCATCGACGATAGCGATCGTTGCAGTGGAGTAGATTTAACTTTATTCTAGCTCTGTATTTCGCAAATCTTTGCTGTTTTGCTATAGCAATAGCAAGGAGAGCCGGTTTTCCTACCATATCAGTGGGTTCTGCGCGTCTAACACCACTTTGGCGAGATATTGTGTCACCGGCGCACGGCTAGAACGGCATCTCAGACCTTACCATCATCAATTATAGATTCGCATAAACGGATATATATTAGGGCTATTTGAAAATTGGTTATGCGCCTCATTGCGAGGAGATTCCGTTTTCTTTTGATGGAAAAGTACTTGGAGTTTCGAAAGGTCCTCTGAAGAACATGCCAGTGTGTTTGGCCCTAAAAATACCGGAAGATTATAGTGGATCACAGCGCTGTAGGCCCCACCTGAATACGCGAAGTAACTTAACGCGACTACAGCTACCCAGTTAGGAAATCAACACCATGCCGACGTAGCAAAGGCTGTTCAGCAACGAAAAGCGCAGTATAAAAAATGTCCCTTTATTTGGCACATCGCCGCTCAACATGGGCCCGGTGTGTAGTCAGCCATGGAACCAATCTATGTAGCTGGTTGTTGATAGTCAATGCGTGCCTTCAACTTAAGCCATGAAGACGCCCAAGATCTAGCAACGAGCTGGCATGCTACCGAAAGGGCTTTGGTGCAAGAATGAATGATCAACCTCGAAGTTTATTTAAATATCTAAGCTCTCAGTGAGCATTGAACATATGTTGTTCAGATCCCCCATCCCTCATGTGCATAAAGTTCAACCGCCTCGAGCACGTTCTTTCAACACAAGGCAAATTCTTCGGCCGAAGACTTTTAACATTTTCCCAAGCGACCGAAGGATGCGTTTCTGGAAGGTTGAGGAGGAGGAGGGTCAGGTTTGGGGCAGGGTTGAGGAGGTCTGGGTCGGGCAGGCATGTTTGCTGGTTACTTGCGTGAGATTGAAGTCGTTGATTGGATTATTTAATGTTGAAGGCTTGGAAGATGTTCTGTTCGCATGAACTGACAGAAGGAAAAATCGCATTCCCTAGTCGAGGGACCTTTTATAGGCATTACTCTTCTTGAATCACGGGGGCTGGCAGTACAGGGCTGATTTCCTACTCATTACTGCAGTTCCAGTGAATCCTGTTGCGAGATATCACGGATCAGAGAGCGCGAATCAACAGATGCTGAGAAAATATGGCCTCTATTGCTAACAAGATAAGTCTCTGGTATTGTCACGTTCGATCAGTGCCTTGATGTGAATGAGTTTGTGTTTTGATTAGGCTGTGACAAGTTGCCGGAACTCGACCACGAAAGCAAAAAATCAAACTATCAGCATGGCATACCCTGGCAGCACTGTAGATGAGAAGGAATTGCTAGTGATACGAAGTAACTGCTGTTGGAAATATGTAACTCCTGTTGACATTGCTGTTGATAAGAAGTACCTGCATGCCTGAAACTGGAGTACTAAACCTCAGATTAATGTGGTACCGGTATTTAGTGTTCGGTTCATCATGTCCAGGGTCCCATGACCAAATGTTACAGCAGAATACTACCAAGTGTGCTCGATATGTTTCGTCTCTCGATACCGATCAATCTAGTTTTTACCATGGTTGAGATATTTCATCATTATTATTGTTAAGTAACGCATAGCAATGACTTATCAGGAATGATATGTCAACAATTTCCTGTTTGGCCTTGACTAGCTCTGGCATTCCTCATACCCATCTAGCAGTTCGTATACTCGTCCTTATAATCCAAGCAGCAATTCAAACCATTTCAAGCCTCAGAACATGCAACCGATTGATCAGGGCTCATGACATCATTCTATTGTTCATTCTAGGCGATCTTGCTCCAGTGTCTGTGACATCGCTGCCCTGTTCAGCTCTCTGACCTTCTCCTCCATCCTTTCCTTCACATCAGCACATTCGCAGGCAAGAGCCATTTCAGCAATCTTTATTTCTGGCATTGTCTTGCCTTTCATCATGGCCTTTGCAACCTGCTCGTTTCTCCAAGCTTTGAGATCTCGCTCAAATGCTGTGGCTTGGTATGGTTCATCGAACTCAATTCCATAACTGTAGTGTGGATCGGTTGGTAAGACTCTACTACAAAGCCGGTGTTCATAAAAGCCTTCAAAATCCTTTATCTTGACAAGTGTAATGTTCTGACTGGGTGTGAAGCCTGCAAATAAGTCTCGATAAGCTGGAAATTCTGTAAGCGGAGCGTGCATCATGTCATTCACTTGAAGACCATATGCTAAGGTAAAAAAAGGATTGTTTCCAAGTTTCCATTTTTGCTGGCTTTGGAATACTTTCTAGATGTAAAGGGTATCATATGGGCTGCAGTAGCCATATGGTATGATACCATGCCTATCAAGATTGAACACTGTGTTCAGGGGGAACCGTGTCATGTGCAAGCTCACAACATAGCGTGATTGCTCAGACACGGAAAATGTAATGGGTACAGGAGGACATTTTATGTTAAGATATCGGCCCTGGGGGTTGACAAGTGCAGGTACGAACTGTATGTATTCGACGTAATGCACTCGAGAGCTAGGGAGTGTATATTCCCAGATGAGACGTTGGATCACGGGGTCCAGTTTCTGGAATTGTGGAAAGGAAGTGTTGTAATCGAGCAAAGATGAAGCTCCCGCATGTTCTTGTGCTTCAAGATTCATTTTGATAGTATTTTGGAACGATTTGTGGCAATGGGTGGCGTTGGGTGAAGCGGTAGTTGAGTAAGAGACTGGAGAATGAAAAGGGACAAGTATCTAGCATTTAGAGTGGAGGTACTGCCATGATTCATAAGCGGACAAATATTGTTGTTGGTTAGCATAAACAAGTCAAAGACTATGAGTGTTCAGGCACCAGTATTGAGGCTAGGCAGGGAGAACATTCAAGGAACTACTGAACATGAGGACTGGTCAGTTGGCCAGCTGCCAAGTTCATGCTAATTGAACAAAGAGCCTAGACCTTGTTCAGTGATTCTATCTACCCAATTGTTCACAATCATTGACTGACTGCTTTATCTAGATTGAATCAGTCAATAAACGCCTTTGCGCTTCGTCTATGTTCTGACCTGCGGTCTGTGAAGAAGTGACGGCTTTGTCTGCAGAATACTTTGAATAAAGTCAATTCTGTTGCCTGGTTCACCAAATGGAATTACTATTGTGCTGCTGGCTTGGGTAAGCCAGGAATTTGTGTCAAAAATGCTGAGTGAAGCATAAGAATTGACACAGTATTCAAGGTCGTGAAAGGGGCTTCTTTTTAGTTTTGCTGCACCATCCCAGGTAATGCAGTCACCGTTGGACGTTTTCGTACCCAAACTTTATATGGCTCTTGGTTTATAGATATGGCATACGGCAAGGGCAAATAGCAGTTGGCGTTGGTAGACCATCCTCAGCATTATTAACGCATTAGCGTCCACATCTCTTTTTCGTCTCTGTAAGGGACAAGGCTTTTTTTTTATTCTCGACACACATGCCTAAATAGGTCGCTTTGAAGTAGTAATACTAATTACTTCGATTAGAATGTAGGGTTAGAAAAATATCAAGCCCCCTAGCTTAGGAAAGACATTGGCTATAGCAGAACGACTATGCATAGTATGTGAAGACTTACAGAATTACCCAGCATGATAATTAACAGTGGGCTGTGATGACATATCTTCTCTGGACTGAGGTATCAACCATCATGGAAATATAACATCTGACCCCAACCTCCTTGCAACTGAGATAAAACTTTAAGCGCCTGACCGAAGACAATCCTTGCCGAATTACATCTGGCAGGATCATGTTCCTGGGCGTTTTTCTTAGCGCTTACGCTTAGCAATTTGTCCAGCAACAGGAATTTGGGCAAATTGACAGGTGTGGATTGGTTTAGCGAGGATAAAACTAGCCGATGCGACTCGTCTTCAAATGGGACTTCGGAGCTGACATAAAAGCTTCAAAACTCCGAGCACTACTGGGGTCTTGTCACCGTTTGGCAGGGCTGAAATGGTGGTCGGTAACGTAAGATCCCTGTTTAAGGCTATGCTGCGAAACATGGGGTCGTGCATTTTGCCCTCATTGATGGTTCGTCGCTCATCCATCCCATCAGCTTCCAAGTCGTCGGTGCACTGTTGCTTCGAGCACTGACAATACCTAGACTCAGTCAGCCGTGGTAATTGTACTCTCGAAGTTCAAGTTGAGACCGACTGTTGTCTATTTCTTTGCCATGGTTTTGATGGTTGTTACTGCATTTGGCGACTGCCATGTTCAGTGGGTCTCAAGAAGTTGCCGGGATCTCGCTCCTGGCCACGACCATGCCTCAAGGATCAATTTTGCCCAATTTGAAGCCTCTGCGCCTGTGACCTATAGCCCCCACTGTGATAATATGCACGTAAATGGGGTAGGCAGACTAAATTATTAATTAGACAGCCTGCCCATCTCTAGGCCTCGCAACCATATGTTGTCTATTCTGCTGCGATCGAGGAACCATGGCCGATAGATCGACACCAAGGTCACAGCCTCAGTACGAGCCCGTTGAATCGGAAGAACACGAACTGCGTCACTTAACACAACAGCATGATGTTCCTTATAGTACGGCATCAGCCGGCGGCAACAAAAATGGTGCTGTATTCTCCTCCGACAGCCTAGAGAGGCAGTCCGGGAAGACGGACCCAGCGAGTTGGAGACTGAAGACAATCTTGAAGAAATGGCGCATGCAGGCCCTCGAAGCATCAATCCGAAAGAAGAAGAACCGACAGGTACCCATCGTCAAAGACCGTTTCACTGCCATACTAGCTGCTCTGGTGCATCTTCCAGCCATTGCTGGAATCATTACCTTAAGCTTCTACATCTTCAAGAACTACTACATCGGTAAGGAACTTGAAGGCAAGCCCGATTACGATGTCGAGAAGAAACTCGGTATCCAATTTGCTGCGAAGCTCATGGAAATGTTCATCGTGCTGTCACTCAACGCTATCGTCTTTTCCATGATCCGACACGAGTTTACGATGGGCCAGTCTGTTCCATACGGCGCCCTTGTAGCTGGACAGCAAATATCCGAGATCAGCTTCCTGTGGTCTGAGGAGTTCTTGAGTATTGTGAAGGGGAAGTTCTCTCAGACGTGGAAGAAGATCGGCTTCATCATCACCGTCTTCGTTTGCACGATCATGGCGCTGGGGGCGTCGTCGCTCAGTGCCGTTGCGATGATGCCGCAGGAAGGAGACTGGAGAGCGGGCGGCAGTTTCGTCTACTTCAATGGTACCAGAGATGAATTGTTTCCTGGCGTCCTGACTGAGGAAAACACAGTCGGATCTGCCTGTAGTGTTACCGGAAATGAGCGTTGCCCTTCTTGGCAATGGGATGTCATCAACAGCCAGCTCATCTCCAAGCTTCCACTATCAGGTGAAGTGGACAATGGCTTGTTCATCAGACGACCACCGAGCGAGATTCTAGTCGCCGGATACTCTTCGACACTGGTCAATCTCGTAGTGGATGTCAGAGAGAAATGGTTCAACCTGAACAGCCCAAACCATACGGTCGCCAGAATGCCGCATCTCGGACCCGCTGAAGCTTGCATCACAACGTCACTGCACTGGGAACAAGCTGCGGACGATTCAGCCAAGAGAAAACAGACTCGATTCAACAACTTCCAAAAGCTTGCCCATAAGCTCAATGCACCAATGCCAATCGCCAACACGAGATGTGAGCTGACGTCCGTGACCGACGCCAAAGCAAAGACAATCTTGTTCCCCGACTTTGTGGCCTTCCCACCAACAACGCTGAACGTCACAAAGGACGTCGTGAGTGGCTGGCTATCAGATACTCTGCCTGACTTGAACAAACCCGAAGTGTTGTGGTTTGACTCAGCACCAGTCATTGCCAACAGCTCTGTTGGTGTCGTGGTCGCCGTGCCGTCCAATAAGTCACGCGAGGCAGCCGATATTTACGGATGTATGATCGATGCACGTTGGATCACCACTGAGCTGAGTGGAGATGCAGTCTCGCTGGCCAGCAAAGGATACCCGCCATTCTCAGGGTCTATTGCCACAGCGCTTGGGGGCTCTTGGATTGGAAGCCCGGGCTACGGTCAACGCGTCCATCTCGCACCTAGCTTCGCCAAATACCTCAACCCTCTTGACTCTAGAACGAACCGAACCGTCATACACGAAATGCTTCTCAACAGTGGCGTATGGACAGCTGATGGGAAGGGTTCGAAGTCCACGGCGCATCTGGAGGCAGTTCTTGGATCATTGGCGGCTAACGGCTTGGGCCGATCAAATCCGAACGTCACTGCCATTACAACCCTTGCTGATCCAGATGGTGAATGGTGGAGGAGCTTTATGCCGCAGGACGGTAAGGTGTTTGGTCCTGGTGGCAGCCCATATGCTGTATCAGACGAGGACAAAGCTCGTCTCTTCAGCGCAGAGATGGAGACGTGGGTGACAGGGTTCGCGTTTGCTGACAACAGCTTGACCATGCGCGGAGCCATGGCTGTCTTTTACGTCTATGCACTCCTAGTCATCGCGTACTCGATCTGGTCTATCTGGTCAGGCATTACTTCATCTTCATGGGAGTCTGTGCCGGACCTTCTCGCTCTCGCTCTTGCAGATCGAGGATCGGGATCCGAATCCGAGGGATTTAGCAAAGAATCCCCGGATATTATGAAGGAAAACTTTTGTATTTCTGCAGATGGAAATACGCTGAGGCTTAGGGCGACTCATGGTCTGGTGCCGCCTGAGAACCGTGTCAAGGCTAATGAAGCCTATGATTGAGTAACAGATGGAATTATACGCGATACGGCTGAAATTTGATAGTTGCGCGCAGCAAATATAGGATATAGTCTCTCTTTTCTCCCTTGACCTTCGCATCTCGATCGTCAACATAAATATTACATCTGAGACGTTTACGTCACGAATACGTCGAGCTCCGCCACCTCCGATTGGTGCCAATTGGCTGAGTGCTCACGTCGTGTATGTAAGCAGCCGAGACAGATCTTGCCCGACGGTTTCTGTTTGACAGTCTCGCAATTGACATGACATTCATTCATCACTTCCCAACAAAGCTAGAACCAGACACTAACACGTAATAAGTACGTGTTTTTAGCTCTGTAGTATATCACGGCTTAGTCTGGCCCTGTTATTCGACGCCGATCACCAGACTTATCTTGTACAACCTTAGCCAATCGTGGACAATGCCTCAGACCGACCCCCAACAACCGTCGTTAGCTCCTAGAACTGGTCCCTTGCGCACTCTGTTACCAGCAGAAAGGAGATCGCAACCATCGCCGCCCCCTCTGAAACGCAGTATAACACAGCGCAGGCTCAATCCTGTCCTCGCTGCTTGCGAGCCATGTCGTAAACACAAGGCCAAGGTACTTGGGCACTTCGTATCCTGAGCGGGGTCCGACTAACCATCCTTAGTGCTCTGGAGAGAGGCCAGTATGTCGTCGCTGTCTTCAGCGCAAATTCGCCTGCAACTATGTTACGCGACCAGGCGAAACTCGCTCACAGGCACTAAACCGATGTTCTCACGAGGCCTGTGAGGGCTCGAGTCAACGCTCAAGTATCTACGAGGAACTCATCGGGCTGTTGAAGAACCTACCGGATCGGGATGCCCAGGCCATCCTGCAAAGGCTCAGGTCGGGAACAGACGTCGCATCAGTCCTCACTCAGGCCAGAGCAGGCGATGTATTACTTCAGATGGCCGTCGTTCCCGAGACACGATTACGATACGAGTTTCCATACAGGTCGGAGATGCCCAAAGAGTTTGAACTCAACAATCCTTATTTGAACTCAATGCTGTATGAAACGGCCTCTCTCTATTCTCAACACCATACATCAGAGACAAACGTGCCCGGATATCTTGATAGTCTGGGTTCCGAAGAGCAAAGAAGCCTTTACTTGAAGCCCTTCCATGCAGCGCAAGTATTCGATCCTCTACTTTCCGACGTCAAAGTCTCAGCGTGGACCAGCGTCTGTGACGACGACAAGCTCATGCGAGACCTTTTAAGTGTAATTTTCCGTTGCGAGTACCATTTCACAGCAGCCTTTCACAAGGACTTATTCCTGGATGACATGGCAGCGCGTCGCAAAGACTTTTGTTCTTCACTGCTTGTCAACGTAACTCTTGCCTATGCTTGCGTAGGATACCACTCATAATGACATAGTCAACATTGCTGACATGCTTATCAGGTCTGCTACCCTAATTTCACCAACCGTGTCGAGTATTGGAATCCGAACACTCTTGTCTATCGCTTCAATGCCGAGGCCAAGCGACTATGGGAGCTGGAGGCTTCTATCCCGTGTATGACTACCATCCAGGCAGGTATCCTTTTTAGTGTGTTTCATAATCTCTGTGGGCTAGACGAAGTTGGGAAACCTTATAGGGTACATGCTGTGGCTTTGGCAAACCAGCTTCGCATCTTCGACACCATCGACATTGATCAGAGCAAGAGGATACAGAGGGGCACGCAAAACCTGGCTTGGGCTATGTACAACTGGGAAACGTGAGTACTTTTTCACACCTTTGGCCGTGTACTAACGACAGAAGTCTCTCTGCTTTCTCGTTCATGCTGTCGCCGCTCATCAAGGAGCCACCAAAATGGCCGCTTCCAGATCCTTCAGAAGATCCGTCGTGGTATGGCGAAATATGGGTCAAATACCCATTAAATCACGGCCTTTCACCGATGTATCTTGGGGAAGTTATCCATGCTCGGAGCCAGTTTCGGATCATCATGAATGAGTTTTGTGACGCAGCATACTCAGAAGGTTCCAAGGTAGGAGTTAACCTGGCGTATCAGTTCCGCGAAAGGCTGCAAGAATGGTACGAAAACTTGCCCGCATCTCTAACTCCAAGAAGGATTGCTCTTCCTGGGCAGCTACAACTACAGTAAGTGCTTCATATGCTGCCTTTCACTCTTATGCTTAGTCCAACATGGCTTTCAATATGCATGAAGGGAGTTGCTGACTGCGTCGCAGTATGTACTATCACCACTTACTACTGACGATCTTCGAGCCTCTTGACGATGCAGAAACGACTCAAGAGCCTTCTCCACAGCGTATCGTAGCCGACTCGAACAAGAACATGCAGACACTTGTCAGACTGTACTACCTCCGACATGGTTTTGAAGCAATGGACCTCTTCATCGTCGTCCCTTTGATGGCGATGGGCTATGACAGCGTAGATGCCATCAAGGAGGATACGCCAACAGAACAAATTGAGTTGCTACGATCGACTCTCATTCTGATAGCCCAAGGCCTCTACTACCAACGAAGAAACCACTACTTGGCGCAAGCACTTTTCCGAGTCATTCGAGGCAAAATGCGCCCGCAGGAGATAGGCTTACTGAAGAGTTCGATGGCGTTGGACAAATACGAGACTGATCCAGAGCCAGAGATGGCAGTGGCTGTTCGAAGTCACTGGCCAGTGAGCGTTGTTAAGAAGCATGAGGACATGGAGTCACATATCCTGACCAATCTGGTGGAGAACTTTGGTCGTGTCAATGTTGAGGAAATCCCATGATGTCTTTTGGGCTGAGACGATAGATGGATGCTAGGGGATGGAGGTAAGAAAGGAATTGCGCTGGGCGAGGAAGAGCTGTGTACACGATATTAGGAAGCTCTATGCTTTGGCCATCGTAGACGAATAATGGCCTCCTTATACATATATTGCCCTGGAGAGTGTTGAAGCTGATGAAAGAGTCTACAAAGCAAGACAGAAGGCGCGCTAGCTGGATACACTGCCGACTAATGCTTTTACGATACTTTCTGTTGACTAAATGGCTAGTTGGAAAGACTTTCCTTCCTTTAGCCATGGGATCTTTGTTCACCCTCACTCTCCATGTCAGGTGTAGCTGGGAAATTGGGGCAGCTTATGACACAGTCCTTTTGAGCACATCGTCGACAGCCTCCTTCTGAAGCCCGATTTCGTGCAGCTTCTTCACCTCACTGGCATCGACCTTGCTTTCAAAGTCTCCTCCACTCCCCTCCCGGAAATGAGTAAGGAAGAACTTGACAAATGGGGCAGTGGCATCTTTCTGCTGAATCTTGTCGTTACAATCTTTCAGTGCATCATTCATATCTTGGTAGTCTATCTCCCAGTCTTGGTCCGCCGTCCCTGTTGCCTTTTGAAATGCTTGTAGAAGCTTCTTCTGGGTTAGATGGAATGATGGGACATAGAAAGCCTTGTTCTTATACCGGGACAAGTCCTGTCCTGGGAGGCTCAATACTGCAGCTGTAGCCTGACCAGTCTGTGCAACACTTGACGCGTTGACCTTGCCAACGGCTCCAGTCCAAATCGTAGCTTTGCGGTTCTCAACATCGATGCCCCAAAGACCACTTTTGATGTTCATGTCGAGGAACGGGCCAACAGCTACTGAGATCCAGCTGCTCACACCGAGTTCCTCAATCAGATCGCGGATCTTCTTCTTGTCTTGCAGTAGTTGGTTCTCCTCTATGGGCTTTGACGCGAAAGGGTCTGGACCAAAATCTGCAGGTAGGATATATGGAACTCCAGCTTTTGCTGCTGCTCGAACTGCTGGCTCTTGCAGACTGACAAGTTGAGGGAGAGGCGGCATGAGCACGACAACATCTTGTCCTTGAAAGGCGCTCGTCAAGAGAGACTCATCCTTCAGACCTCCAGATTTGACCATGACTTCAGGTGGAAATGTGCTTGTTGCCTCGATTCGCTGAACAATAGTAATGGTGTGAATGCCTTGTGCGAGAAGGCCCTCGATAGTCGGTCGTCCAACGTGACCGCTGGAGTCGGTAATGGCAATTTTCCGTCCCTGTGCTTGACCTGACATGGTAGACTGAGATAGTTCTGATTGGGCTTGAACTCTTTCGCTCAAGGGCTGTAGATCGAGTCCTTTATTCTTTTCTCCTCAAACGCCTAGGCATATACGTCATCGACCTACGTCGTGTTCGATGTACGAAGACGCGGTAGGACAGCAGTTCTGAACGCATTAAAGCAGAATAAGAATGCACGACAGGGCTCGTGCAAGTTAAAGCTAGATCCAGAGATACAATCGACCAGGATTACCAAATATTGACAACTCGATGGAGTGATGTTCAGAAGAGACGACCCCCAGGTCTTGAAATGGGGTGATGGAGATTGTTAATGAAAGCGATGAAGGAGGGCTTAGACTACTTCTATTTCCACCGTTTTGATGCACATAGATGAGTACCGTGCTGCCCCACCTCAACATTCGCTAACAGGCATGATAATGCCCCGCCTCGAGTCTGCCCTGATGCGGGGATGACCATTCGGGTTGATGACATTGCGTTAAGTCCGAACTCATCATATAAAGGCCGATTCCATGAAACCTGCTTCACAACCTCTGATCAACTACAAAATTCACCTTGCCTCGAAGCACAGGTTTATCACTCCCCAAGCCATTGTCTAACACAGCAGAAATGTCTCCAACCGACGTCTTCAGCCCAGGCTCTACTGCATTGATCACGGGAGCTGGCTCAGGCATCGGTCTGGCTATTGCCAAAACATGTCGCAGCAGGGGCATGCGCACATTGCTCGTAGATAACAACGAGGAAGCTCTGGGGGCTCTGACTAAGACGCACTTCCCCAATGACTCTGACGTCGTTACCTCCAAGGTTGATGTCTCATCGACCTCGGACTGGCAGGCGCTGAAGAAGCTCGCCTTGGACAAGTTTGGCAGCATTGAGTTATTGGTCTTGAACGCTGGCCGAGGTTTGAGGGGCACCTGGGGAGATGATGATTACTTCAGAGATGTAAGTTGAAAACTGCAATGGCGCGACAAATGCTAACAAACAAGACCCTTGAAACCAATTTATTCGGTGTCATTCACGGCATAAACACGTTTCTCTCCGTGGTCCAAGACGCCGCCAAGTCAAAACCAACGAGTATCGTCATCACTGGTAGCAAGCAGGGTATTACCAACCCACCTGGAAATCCAGCATACAATGCCTCCAAAGCTGCAGTCAAGACTCTTGCTGAGCATTTGAGCTGGGACCTGAAAGACACAAGCACCAGCGTGCATCTGCTTGTGCCTGGATGGACTTACACTGGTCTGGTAAGAAATCGCTGCCGTTTTTAGGGTAACTGACTGACAATGCCTGCAGACAAGGGCAACGCCGGATGGTGTGAAGCCAGCTGGAGCTTGGACAGCGGAACAGGTGGCAGATTATCTCTATGAGAAGATGGGGAAGAACGAATTCTACATCATCTGCCCCGACAACGATGTTACAGAGGAGCAAGACAAGAAGCGTATGACTTGGGCTGCAGGTGATGTTGTTCAGAGACGGCCGCCTTTGTCTCGATGGCGTGGCGAGTGGAAGCAGGAAGCTGAAGAAACCATGGCTAAGATGGATCTCTAAAATCATGGGACTTGAGGTGGCGAGTAATTGACAAGATATAGCAACCCGAGTCATCAGTGAATCCAAAACAGGCTATTCGGTACCTTCTCAATCAATTGGGTGTTGAATCGATAGTGTCATTGTGCAGTCCACCATGAGTCTACGATATCAACGAGTAAGTTGTGTCTTCCAATTCTGTATCGTAGGTAACAATGACTCCCGAGAAGCTCAAGGAGGGCTGGCCCCACAATGATGATGCCCTACCATGCCGAACAATGCCGCAGAGTGTCGTGAATCTGCCAAAAAGTCAAAAAGTTCATCAAACACGTCCTGACGAACCAACCATCAAAAGGTTCGATACACCAGGGACTCGAACCCTGAGCCTTAGTCTTAGGAGGACTACGCGCTACCATTGCGCCAGCGCACCGGAGCTATTTTTAGAGGTATCTGTGTCGTATTTGCAAATATGTTGATATCAAGATTGGAGTTTTAGGTTTGCGCCACCACGTCAAACTTTGACCTCAAACTGGAGTTTCCAAGAAATAGGCTACTTATTACCGGTCAGTTTCAGCTATTCTGGACTCCTGAATCAGTATTCTGTTTATCTGATGGTGATATTGAATGTCATGCGTATGCCGTCGAACTCCACTGTGGACCGAGGTATAAGTGGCGTGGAGCCTACAGCCTAAACATTGATCAAACTGAGAAGGCCAATACTTGAATTGAAACAGTTGAGATTTGCCAATTTGCCAACGCCAGTATATCCTCAAGATTGCATTCTCTCAATTGTGGCAGGCAACTCCTCCATGCCCTCCAGAAAAGCACCAAACTCTCCCTTCACCTTCTCCATATCCTCATCAACATCATCCGTCCAACGATGAATGTAAATCGTCTTGATTCCAACATTTTGAGCTCCTCTCAGATCGTATGCGTGAGCCGCAACCAACACAACTTCTTCAGGTTTGAGCTTGACGAGTCGCAACGCCTTGTTGTAGGCCTCGGGATCTGGCTTGTACGTCCCCAACAGTTGGCTGGAGAAGAGCATATTGAAATTGAGCCCAGCGAAGCGAGTTAGGTCTAGCTGCAGACGTGTTGTACCATTGGCGTGAACAAAGACTTCCAGACCAAGATCGTCTCGGACCGACTGAATTGCCTTTCGAACTTCTGGCCAAGCTGGTTGGGAATGCCAAGCAGTAATCAATTGTTCTTTGATTGGCGCATTGAAATGTCGCTTATACTCTGGTGAGTCTTCCAGTACGTTGTCAAGCACGCGAATGAGCGTGTCATCTATGTCTTCAGGCTCAAGCTTTTGTGCAAGGCGCTCGCTGTTGGCGATGAAGTAACGTCGCCGCCATTCGAGAGCGATTTTGGAAGCTTCGGCTTCGGGAATGGCCGGGGGTAGAGCCTGCACGACACTACTGTGCCAATCAAGGCATGTCCCCATGAAGTCAAAGAATACTGCTTTTATCTTTGTTGGTTGCGACATGATGCTGAAACTTTTCTAACTGTTGCAAGGATGTCAAGGCTAGTGGAGAGAATTTAGCATATAAATATTGGAAGTGTTGCGCATGATTGTTGAAGATGCTCGCTTATGGCATGACGTGATTAGAAATCATGAAACGGCCTGCTTATTTCGCTCACGGCGGTACGCCCTTTAGATGATTGGTTGCATCATAAATTGTGGTCTGCCAGTCAGCTTAAGCTCGGTACGATAGGATCAAAGACTTGGAACAGCATCAAAACTGTCGATAAATCGAGGTCTCGTTGGAACTCGAGTCGCGGGTCTTTCAATTAACACGAACTCGACATGAAAGAATTATCCATGTACATATTTCCTTATGACGAGCTTAGCTAGACCACCATGATAGAAATAAGCTCATCCACTTGCGAGAACTGGAGGTAGAGATAGCTGGTGGTTCTTGATGATAACATCCCATAGCGCCGATAGCTCCCCACTTGGAAGTTTGTCATCTTCCTTAATCCTTCGAATGTCATGAAAGAAGTTGTCCCCTTCGGCTCTCAGAGTCCGCGGTATCGTCTCCATATCAGGAAAGTTAAAGAACGCCACGATGGACACTTTGACTTCATTCCCACTGATATCAACGTCGTGAAAAGTCGGAATGAACTCATTGGCCCAGCGGTAGAGCGTTGAGCCACCCATCATGATCGTGCCTTTATGTCCAGGAAAGCGCACGGTTCCGTCGAGGTCATAGACCCGAAGTCCTGGCCCGTTTGTGATGAGGGCAGAGAGGAGGTTGCCATCTGGATGAAGGCCAATGCCACCAGGAGCACCAGCATGAGGCGTGTACTTGATAGCACGATAGCGAACTGTACATCGCTGTACCAAGTCTGGGTCAATGCCAACAGCCATACTAGTCGTCACCAAAGCACTGTCAAGCGCGGACTTCAGACAATGTGCCGATTCTCGAGTTCTGACATCATGCAACGCTTGAAGGCCCGTAAGGCCATCTTTGAGATCACCATCAAATTTGGCAATGTCGGTCTTAGAGTCCAAGAAAGGATGGCCAATGCCCTGACTGGCAAACCAGCAGGACTTGCGCCATACCACTTTCTTATCACTACCCTCGTAGGAGAGCGAGTGATCGAGATCGCTGAGGTAAGAGCCGAGGTCTTGCATTGCTTGTTCAATGCGTTGTTCTTCTTGGCTTCCCCAAGGGACTACATATTCTTTGCCCGCCCTGAAGGCAGTTTGAATGGCACGGCTTTCTTTTGCTGGGTGGACGTCAGCTTTCTGAACCTCAGTGATAAACTGGTGCACCACCTACACATTGCTCCTGTTTGAGAAGCAATTGGCTGATCGAGGCTCGCGTGATGGCTAGAGCCGGGTGTCATAGAATCGAGCATAGACATGGGTATGTTGGATGTGATTGAGGGAAGCTGGTATGTCCATCAACGTCCAGCAGATAATTGTTTATTTATTCCTTCTAGGCCCTGCTCACCCTAGTCTTCCATCACCCCGCCAAGTGTCATTATCGTCCCCATCCGAATGTATGTCTCACTGCATTCGTCTACCCACTCTCATTTACTTTCGGCACAACGCCACACCGTGACGATCGTGAAACTATACTGAACTGCCGGTCTCCCCGAATCACACATGTCATTTTACAGCTACATACGTGTCTACTCTGTGTACCGTGAACCCCGCGTTCGGCGTTTCTTACTGTGCGGCCTCGGCGATCTCTTTGAGTACCACGTCGATGCTGTCCATCGTCAGTGACCGTATGTGTACATCCCTGTTTTTGAAGAGTTCTGCCAATCTTGGACAGTACTTTTCTAATCCCTCTGCTAGTTGGGCTCTGGATAATGCCTGTCCATTGTCTGGTAATCCATATTGAAGTAGCCAAACTTGCTTGTCTGGAAAATCAGTTGTCAGCTTTGAACAATCTGAGATTATGTCTCTCGGAACTTACCACTTCTGAGACTCATCTCCCATTCCCATCGATGGATGTCATCTGGATTCGTAAACCTGTCCCAGTCGCCGGGGGCAGCGAGAATAATGATTTGAGACACAGATAAGAATGTGTTGGAAATCCTCTTGGTCACTTCCCCAGCTTCCGTGCTTCTTGTCATTTGGTGTTGGTCGAGCCATATGCGACGGCTCTTCTTTTCGATCATTTCAGCGACTAGACGCGCCATTACTCGGCCTCTCTCGTATAAATCTGGTGATAGCCATCGGTAAAATATGATGTAGTCATATGCGTATGTTGATTCCACGCCTGAATCGCTCGTGTCAGTTAGGAATCTGAATCGTGACTGACAATTGGACTCACTCAGACAGCTTTTGGACAATGGTAAATGAGCCTCCACGGCAACGGCTGGCTTGACACTCAACATCTTAGCCTTATGTTATCCCAGACCTCAAAATGAGTAGCTTTCAGTGCGTGTATAAACAATGGTAAACGCAACTTCATCCCATAGAGATTGAGGCACAAAACAGATGTTTAATACTCTTGTCCGTCTTGAGTTCCCAATTTCTCGATGTCTCTTTTCTTATACCACTGCCCTACAGTAAGGTACACAGTATATGCCGGAACCAAGAAACTTCACAGCCGGCATATGCACTGACTTCTGCAGCCTCAAGGTGACAGATCATTGCTTATTCTGTGACATCATTCCAATCCCGTTTGCCCCATCCAATCCAGTAGCGAAAATGGAGAGTACGGTATAAATATGTCTCAGCTGCACACGATCTTTTACCGCTTCCAGGCTGTTGTCTTACGCTGTACGCCAGCCACTTTCAGGTGGACGGGCCAACCCGTGCATTAGCGTATGCAGAATGCCGTACAATGGGTAACGCGTAGTAAACTGAGTTCGTTTTGTGGAAGGCGGGTTACGGAAGCTGAGAGATCTGCAAACCGTATCTGAGCGCTTTGCGGTGTAGGGTCTAGGTGGAGGAGACGGACTGTCGATCGATCTGAGAGCTTCAGCTTTCGTGGGGCAATGTAAACCAACGATTTGCAACTTGGCAGAGCCAGGAGCCAGGATCAACCGCATCTTGCCATGGCAGCTCTCAACTTGGCATTCATTTGAGAGTTGAAGGGAGAGTTTTTGTTTGTAGATCCAGTCTATATAGAAGTGCAGGAGCGCAGGATCTCTGAGGGATAGAGGCATTTGTAGGTTTGTTTGTTTGTGTATTTTTCGTCGCGAGGCATTTGTAGGTGTTTTCGTCATGGCATACTCTAGGGTAGCACCTCATTTCTCACCATGATCGTCATGGACAACCAATGGTCGTACGTATAGGATGAGTTGATGATGCGACTGCTACAAATGCCATGGTACCTATTAGATAGCTTTATTATGAATGGTTGTGGAAACTGGCTGGAAAGAAAGTTTTTGTGATAGCGTGATGAATAGCACTTGCGACTGAAGTTTTCCGTGGGACATTTTCAGTGGTCACCTCGGAAGATGTGTCTTTCCGGCCAAACACCCTCGAGTCATTTGACTTGAGACACATTGACGTGTCACAGTCATGCAAATTTTACCGCACAGGCAATTTGTTGACAAGCTAGGTTCTCCCTTCGTTGACAGTCTTCTCCCGATGCCAAGTCGGCTGCTGAACCAAGCTCTCGAATTTAGTATATCACCACAACCCACGGCAGCGCAAATTTCCGGAATGTTTTTCGTATTCTCAAACATACAAGAGTGCGTTCTGTTCTCAATGGTTTCTCCCAATCATGTACGGCCTTCTCGCAGCCTTGGGTTTCTACAATGCAAAGCAGCTATAGTCAGCTCTGGGCCAGGATCAGGTCTCGACGCTCAAGAATAACACTTCAGCAGTCATTTTGACCGCTTGCACGATCGCCCAACAACTGAAACAAGGTTACAATTGACAAGCACTCGATGTCTCAGATCACAGGCTGTTTCCCAAGACGTCATCAATCTCAATCTTGAGGCCTAGGTAAGCGTTATCTAGTCCAGCAATTAATTCACCGTCGCGATTTTGCAGATTCAAATGCTGGACTCTCGAGTGAACTTTCGGCATTTCTCATTTACAAGTGTCGGTAACTGCAGAGTGAATCAGGTCACCATTGAGGCGCTTGGAAAGCAAGAGTCTCCTCCCTGCAGACGGTAGAATCAGACAAGGGTAAACAACTGCCAAGGAAACAGCAGAAAAGGCTGGTAAAACACAAACGCTCGATGCAGACACGGTCTGGTCTACGGTATTTATCCAACTCACTCAAGGTTGGATAAGCTTCCATCCCGCGAGTCAAAACCATCACGGAAAGTGGGCGCATGCTCAATTACCGGACTCGGCCTCCAATCATCAGCTGAACTCAAGTTCCCATGTCTTAAACAGGGCTTAGGTAATGTTGACGCAGAGACTTACGCGTCAAATAAAGCGATTATTGCTCAGAAAATTCACGGATTTCAAGCCTACGCTCCTTTAGAGTTTGCTAGCTCCGCGGGATGACGAAGGTGGTCGGGTCAAAATGCGCGCCCACTTCTCGGCTCGGAGCCGAAATCGATCGGTGCATCAGACCTGAAGTGATTGAGTTCGGCAGATGGACATAGATATACTTGATCAACAGGTTTAGTTGCATCTGAACTATAATATTCGTATCAAGATAGCCTCTTTCTATTCAAGATAATGCATCATCGGTGCCCAATTCACTAGACTAGCAACATAACTTACAGGCCTCAGAATGCCTTTCCAAACACTCACGTCTTTCCGGTTACTTGTTTTTCTCTCCCAGCTAAAACGTTAGGCCCATCGCTGTAGATTTCAGAAGAGCGCCACTGTCTCCCTTGCTGGGCCTACGCGCCTGACCACGACGACCTGACACGATGTCGCATGCTTTCCCCTCTTTAACCTCCGTGCGTCGTCCAGGGCTAGACTGATTAGGCATCGTCGAATAGTATTTTTCTTCCCATTCTTCTAGGGATGACGCATCGATGTGACGATGCTTCGTTTCGAGCACTATCTTAAAAATGCTGGACCGCCGATATGTCGACCAATTGCTTGGCCAGGACTATCGTGACTTACTTCGTTTACTGTCACCATTGATATCGTCAATTAGGACACCATGAATATGATACGGCATACTGTTGGCTTAGCTTTATTAGCTGCTCTTGGCTATGCTACCGATGTCAACAACACCGATCTCGAGCCATTGCGGTTTACCAAGAATGGTACTTTTCAGATCGCCATCTTCTCCGATATGCATTTTGGACAATGTGAGTTCTTCAATTGATTGGCAAGAATTGCAACTGACCCTCGGTTATAGACGAGTCGTCAACAGGTCCTGAGCAGGATCGCAATTCTGTTGAAGTGATCCGCAAAGTCCTCGACTACGACAGACCTGATCTTGTCGTTCTCAACGGCGATCTCATCAATGGAGACTCGACATTTGCTCACAACAGTACGCATTACGTTGACATGATTGTTGAGCCAATCGTCAACCGCAGTTTGACCTGGGCATCTACATATGGCAACCATGATCATAACTACAACATCGCTGGCGATGATATTCTCGAGCGCGAACAACTGTTCCCCGGTGCGCGCACGCAGAAAATGGTTAACGAGAAGTTATCTGGCACAACAAATTACTATCTGCCTGTTTACCCCTCGGACTGCACCGATACTAGCGATTGCAGCCCTAATCTCATTTTATGGTTCTTCGATAGTCGCGGCGGTAACTACTATCAGGGATCTTATCAACCAAACTGGGTTGACCAGAGTGTTGTGGATTGGTTCAATGAAACAAGCATCGAATTGAACGACAAGTACAACAAGACCCTTCCATCACTCGCATTCGTCCACGTCCCTGTCAACGCCACAGTTGCACTCCAAACAGAAATTGGCATCCGAAAGAACTACCAGCCAGGCATCAACGAGGATCCTCCGGTGTTTCAGCAAGGAGCAGGATGGTGTGAGAACGCAGATCCCAATGAGACCTGTGATTACGGAGGTCAGGACGTACCGTTTATGGAGGCTCTGGTCACCGTTCCTGGAGTCATCGGATTGTTTTCTGGTCATGATCACGGAAACACGTGGTGTTATCGCTGGGATAAGAAACTCGAAGGAATGACTGTCGAAGGCAACGGTATCCATCTGTGCTATGGACAGCACTCTGGGTACGGTGGTTATGGCGATTGGATTCGTGGTGCACGAGAAATCGTTGTCACGGAGGATATGCTGGAGAAGGGCGACGTGGAGTCCTACATTCGTCTTGAATCTGGCGATGTTGTTGGGCGGGTGACGTTAAACTCGACCTACAACGACGACTATTATCCTGCTACGCCGAACACCATGACCTATATGTCGGAGGCCTTGAGTGATAGTAGTAGCGATGATGAAAGTGCTGCGGGGAGCGTTTTGTCAGGGTCTGAACTTATGGCGGCCGTTGGAGGTTCATTGATTGCGATTGCTTGGTTGTGCTTTTGATCTTGAAGGCGTTGTTTAGATGATTCACGACGATATGGATACCCATGTTCTTTTATATACCATAAATCAATTCTATAAAAATGACAGAAACCCCAAGTCACACATGTTGTCTCTTGACTAATATCGTATACTCGTAAATGTCCTAAACCTTGCATCCATATCAGTATTTGATTTCTATGTAACCAGCACCTTGAGGTCAGAGTGCATCACGCTGCACAATCACCTTCTGCTTCGTTTGTTTGCTTAGTGCCTTACTTCAGCGTAACCTCACCCATCACTTTCGATGCTCCTGGGAACTTTCACTCTCGATCGACTGCCGCAACATCTCCACATCCTCGTCATCAATAGACTGCCCTCTTGGCACTGACTCCTCATGATGAGTCTCATGGCTATGCAATCTCATGTTCACAAACATGAACCAGAGACCCAAGTCATACACGATTCGCAAGATGCCGCCAACCATAAAGGCAATCCAAAATCTTCCAGATTCAGCAAGTCCTCCAGTCAACGAAGGACCAGTAGCCATAGCCAAAGTTCGAAGTGTCGAGGTGATTCCCATGACAGCAGTGCGCTCTTCAGGCTTGACAACAGCCGCGATGAATGCTGCCCTAGGTGCTTGATCCATGTTGTTGAGGCCCATACGAATGAAGAGGAGTATGACTGTGACAAAGAGACCACTTGGTAAGGGGAAGAACAGAACCGAAATTGAAGACGGGAGATGAGTGAACACCATGGTGTTGATAAGACCCAGGTGACGAGACAGAGGTCCCGCAAAGACTGTTGAGACGGTTGCCAAGACCTGGGCTGATGAGAAGATGTTCCCTAGTGTAGTCTTGGATGGTGAAAACTTGTGATCGAGGAAGTAAGTCGTCAGAGATTCCGAAACCATTCCATCGGCCAGAGAATCGATGGTCAGGAGAAACCATAACCGGTACATGACAGACCTGGTACCGGAAGAAACGCTTGAAAAGCGACTCGCTGGCTCATGAGGATTTGATGTCATCGACTGTCTTCTCCTACGAGCATCTTCCTCTTCCTCCATCGACTCGCGCAGAAGTCCTTCAGCTAGTTCGTCGGAAGCTTCTGAAGAGTCATCGTGATGGGCTTCCGTCTTGTTACTCATGACAAACGCGAACAAGACATTCAGTGCACCCATCAGGATGTACACCCAGAAAGTCGCGTGGTATGCTCTCACGAGATTCCATCCCTCTCGTTTGGTCATGTTTTCGACAAATCTCCCTGCCAATGCCGCACCCCCTGCAGCGCCGAGACTCGAACTGGTGATGTACCAAGCCAAGACATCAGCTCTCGTTTTCGGAGTCGTGATGTGAGACAGCATAGACTCCTCAATGGCTCGGAATGGACCAAAGTCGCTTCCGCTCGCACTGACGACGCCGACGACAGCAGCGAATAGAAGAATCCAAAAGTTCTCGAAGACCGAGAATATCGCACCTGAGACAGCCATCAAAAAGCCACCCGCCACCAATACCCTCCGTCGACCAAGCCCATCGGCCATGAGCGTTACAACCAGACCGAGCACAACATCACCTAACAGCGTCAAACTCATGAACAAGCCGATCCTGAAATCAGAAAAACCCAATTCCGAAAAGAACTGCGCTATCGTAAGCGTAACAGCCTTGAACGCAAACATGCGACATGTCCGTGAGAGAATAAGTAGCCAGGCATCTCTACCAGCATGATACACAGCTGAGATTCCAGACTCGTGGTACAGCCAACCAGCTTTTTGACCGAGCGAAGACCGTTGCGTGGCCATTGCAAGAGTAATTGAAGTTAAGGGAGAGAATATGATCGCGTGCTCAATTCGATATGATATGGATTGTTGCGGGGTGTCGCCGATCGGAGTTATCGGCACCGTGATCGGCGGTGTTTTTCACCGAGTTACTAGTTCTGGCATCATTGTGACCTCGCTACCATTTTCGCATTGGGGAATGAGTCAGTGTCAATAGGAGGGAAGAGGATTTCCGTGAAGTTTCGGAAGTAGTATTCGGAAATGGAGCGGAGATCGAATGGCGATGAGGACGTTGCATTGCTATTGACGTGAAAGCCTTGTTGCGACGAGGTTACTTCGGTGAGGCTACATTCAGAAGGTCGATTACGCATGGATCGATGAGACTAGTAAAGAGATGGCTAGCATGAGTCGCAGTATCGTATCAGCTGACTGTCCGTTAAGCATAGAAATGCCGGATGGGATCTAAAAGATTGAAGCTGTTGCAACATGGCGATGGTGGATGATCAGAATGCTCAGTTCAACTGGGTGCAGTTTCCCATTCTGGGAAGATTGTGGATTGAGTTTGCAAAGTTGCTGTCAAGAATCCAGACCTTCTCCCCGAATAGCTCAGCTGGAAGAGCGTTCGGCTGTAACTGATATTGCCACCGAAAGGTCACTTGTTCGATCCAGGTTTCGGGGATTCAATTTTTTGCCTTTTCTTCTTTTTTGACGCTGTAATATACGTGCGCATCATTTGTTCAACCTCGTTACCCATTTGATCTAACCAGTCAGTTCAGCTCTCAGTCAACATTTAAGCTGCCCACGAAGCTCTTTGGCGGCTTCAGCCCCCCGCAATAAGTTTAGCGCACCTCACCGCTGAATTGCTGACCCCGCAATGCTTGGGTGCCCTTCAACAATTTGTCATCGCCCATCATCTCGCCAATGACTTCCCCCACAGAATTACCTGCTTGGTACTATCGCGTTTCTGAGGCAGTCAAAAAGAGAAATGGCGTTATACTCTGGGACTTTGATGAAGATATCTCCGACCTTGATGAAACCAGCCCAGGCGAAACCATAGCGTACAATGGACCTGATGCTGCAGATTACCATTACTTGAGAGAGAAGCGGGAGGAACGCAAAAGAGAGCTTTTCCAGCGCAAAGAGATTATCAGAAAGCGTAAGGAGGATGCAAGAGAGGAGGAGAAAAATAAGGTCGAACAAGTGCGGGCAGCATATGAAGCTTTTGAGATTTCCGTGTTCAGAAGCGAATCAACTCAACTAGGACCTATCGACAGCCAGTTCGATCTTTACTGTATGGACTACTTTGACTGTTTTTATGATCCCAGTCCGCATGGCTACCAGAGGAGATACGTCAGGTTCGAATACGAAGATAGAGGCGAGGTGCACAGCGATGATCTCACCGGCCGGTTCTGGCTCAATCCGAAGGTCGACTTTGAACTTGTCCCATTCAAAGCCCCGGAATGTTCAAGCCTTAAACATCATGAGATCTACACCACCGATGGCAGATTCTCTATGATTCTGCAATTGATTGACAAAGATCACTTGATCCTCAGAGCAAGCCGAGATCTTGTCTTCTGGGGCACTCCGCAGGATTCACAAGGCCCTGAAACGTTCATATTCATGGGTGTCCGCAATGATTGGGGGAAGCAACTTCAGGCGTTTGCAAGGATGTTGCACCCGTGAGAGAAGCTTTCATGGGTCAGCCAGTATGATGGAGGTTTGTGCCTGACGTGCTTCGCCTCACTCGTCCTCTCAAAGCTCAACTTCTATCGTGTCGCAAAGGCTACAGACACAATTTGCAATCATTGACAAATATGTCGACTCCAACCTCTCCATCCAGCGCTCTTGCACCGCCCACGACATTTCTCTCGGTGCAAGACGGAACCCTCTGTGAATTTTGTCGCGATGACGAGCTCATTCAGCCAATCCGAACCAGAGCTCTCTCAGATCTCATTCAATCCTCGCGTTACTGCGAACTTTGTGCAAGGTGGCTTAGGGCCCTAGAGCATTCTTGTCAAAACCTGAATGTTCGAGGCCAAGTTGCCGCACTGAGACAGCATCCCTTAGAGCAAGACGTCTATGATGTGACGCTTGTGTTTCTGAGTTCTCCAGAACGGCCAAAAGTTGCATGGCCGCACATTGGACATGTGTGGGCGGCTCTCGATACGATCGATATCGATGGTTAGCTTGGGTTTGGGCGTCCGATGTGAGATGCACCAGAGCTGACTGGTGAATATAGATGCGAAAGACATTAACCTGAAACCGTTGCCTGGATCGGATCAGGGCGAGACTACTTGGAAATCAGTCAGAGAATGGCTTGATCGATGCGACAAACATCATAAAGATTGCAAACATAAGAAGACATCCGCCTGGAAGCCAACTCGACTGCTGTACGTCTGTAATACACAGGCTGCGCTTCAAGTCCGCCTAGTCGAGAGTCAGGATATACCTGACGGCGTTGAGTATCTGACCCTGAGCCATTGTCAGGGTGCAGGAAGCACTCTTCAGCTTACTCGCAGCAACATCGAAGCCTTCAAGTCCTCAATTCCCGTTGATGAGCTCTCCCGCGTCTTCATTGATGCATGTAACACCGCCAAAAGGCTGAGTCACGATTACCTCTGGATCGACGCACTCTGTATAATCCAAGACGACCCTGCAGATTGGCAACATGAAGTTGGTTGTATGGCTTCTACCTACGGGAACTCATGGCTCAATGTCTCGGCTGACGGAGATGATGAGGCTGGCCACGGGCTCTTCTGTCCTTCTGACAAACGAGCCGGCCGCCCATGGTGCCCAGTATACATACAACGTGAATGGGGCGATGGATTTCCTAGTAATTATTGCATATCCGAGTATCACAACTGGTGGGAACGCATCTCAGACTCGCAGTTGAATCGAGGAGTCTGGGCTCTCCAGGAGCGTGTTTTATCGCCAAGGGTACTGCAGCTGGGACTTAAACAGGTTGCTCTCGAGTGTTCCTCGAACGCAGTGTGCGAACGACTGCCATATGGTGATCCGACGATAAGACATGATGACTTCACTGAAAAGTTTGTTCTCGACGCACGAAATAGAAATCTCTCTTGTCTAACTCCTGAGAATGCTTTTCGGAACTGGAATCAAGTGGTTCAAGCTTACTCCCAGGGACAGCTCACGGTTGCGACTGACAAGCTTATTGCACTATCAAGCCTTATTGATGTGCTCTACCCCGTCTTTCAGCATATGGTGAAGTCAGAAGACCAAGTCGAAGATGGCTAGGGGAGGCATGGTACACAAACTCAGGTGGATTCATCCTGTCATAGATCGCCAGGGATTTTCCTCGCTGGACTATGGCGGCCATATGTCGAGAGACAGTTGGTGTGGCGAGCAATGTCACGCAAATATTTATTCGAATATGATGGAAACTCACCTTCGGCACCTGGGAAACGTTACAACGAGTACATTGCTCCAACATGGTCTTGGTGTTCTGTCAAGGATGCTGTCATTGAACCGCAGGAAGCGAGGTCGGTGGATATTTACTTCACCAAAGTCATCAGTACAAATATCGTCCCTCACGGGAAGCTAAATCAAGCAACACCTTCAAGTGGCTTGAGGTACTGCTCCTCCCCTGGTTCGTTTCTCCGTCTGCGGTGTTCTTACCTACCCATCGTCGAATTGGGGCCGGTGAGCGGCATGAAACTTATGAACTTTAGAGCCGCGACTCGTGAGAGAGGCCGGGGTGATGAAGCAATCGATGTTCAAAGTAAAAACTACTGGGATGTGGAGTTTAGTCAAGAGGCTATAAACTGCAAGTCGCCCATTGCGGTTCCCGTCTTTGCAAACATGTCGTACTTCACCAGCCCTGTACATTGCCTCGTCCTAGGCGAAAGGCAGGGTGAGAATGGGAACCGATGGTATATATGAGTTGGAGCTTTCGTGATCACTCATCCTGAGGATGTGCAGAGATTCTGGAAGGGGATTAAGGATTTTGATCAACGTATGCCGGAAGAGTGTGAGAGGCATGATGGGCTGTACAGATTTAAGGAACTGGAGAGGAGCAAGTCTACGTATATGAAGACGGCTGAGGTTTTGCAGCGGGTTGTTGAGATCAGGTAGCATTGCTTCTGCTCATCTCATGATGCTAAAGCGAACGTCGAACGGCTCTGAATGTACACTGTAGGGTTAAGTACGTCCAGAAGGTAACAGAACAACAGATAATTTACTCCAGGGGAAAAGTCTCCAGTGATGCATTTAGCGAAGTCAACAACGTTCAATAGTAATGCTAAATAGTAGTAAACAAGGGTTCCTGGTCCTCCCCATCTTTACTCGTCCTTGTAAGGATCGAAGCCCTGAACACCATCACCAGCAGCCGCCTTGAGCGAATCACCAAACTCATCATCCAGCTTAGGTCCAACACCACCATTCCAGTTCTGCAGCATCTTGTCTCGCAGACCAACATCAGGCCAGTTGTCCCAACCAACAAGAGGAGCTTTGAAGAAAGAACCAGTAGGGTTCTCGGGGTTGGCCTGGTCATCGTCGTTGGCAAAGCGGTAGCAGTGAGTTCCGGCACCGTCCTTGTGATAAACGAGAAGAGGGGTGCTTCCGTCGCTGGGGAACTCGTTGCTGGCGCCGTCGTATTTTCCGTGGCAGGAGGGTGCGACGCGGACGACATTGTCGCCTTGGGTGAAAACGACGATGTTCTCCCAGTCGTGGCGGTGACCTCCGAGAAAGCTGCCACCAACGGCTTGGTCTTTCTCATAGTAGGTCTCATACCTTTAAGGTCCGATGTTAGCATGTATACACTGTAAGGAAGAAGCCCTCGTGTTTGAGGTCGAGGAGAAAGACTTACATAATGGCACAGAAGCCATTGTTGCAGCGCTTGCGAGAATAGGTGTTGCTGTTATCAAGCTGGGGAGGATCACGACAGTCTCCCTGGGGAGTACCAGTGGCGCCATGACCAGGGTTCAAGTTGCCATCAGGATCAATGGCGGCGGTCTGGTAGCAGCCGTCGCTGTCGAAGTCAAGAGCAGGCTGGAACTTGTTCTCGATGTCAGAAGCGCCTCCAGGGAGGGCTGTGAGAACGTCTCGCTTGGAAATAGAAACGGGAGATGCCTGGACTGATGCCATGGCACTCAGGAGGGCGGCGGCGGTGATGAGCTTGTTCTGCATGGTGGCTGTTGAGTTGATGTTGTGATGGGAGATGAAGATGGTGATGAGATGGAGTTAAACTGATGGTGGATGATGCAGTACTTATACGTGTCTGCTGCTCTTGGAAACAGGTTCCTGTCTTGAATAGATCAACATTTTACAACTCAACACCTTGATCGCGGCTCGTCCATGGGGGTTCAGCTCAAATGCACATCTTGGGCAAGGACGTTACATTCATGTTGATCATAATCTTGTCAGGAGCTTACTCGTCATAAGCACCAACGTCGCAAGAAACTTATGTACTTTTCGGGTATGTCACTCAAGATCACCTGCCGGCAGTGCTAGCGGATACGATTTGTGTGCTATGATAGGCCAGTCAAAGTGCATCCTTCCAGTCTATTCACTGTACTTTTTTCTCGAAGGATCGTTTCAGCACTGCCTGCTTGAAGCGGGTTGGAGAGTCAATTACCTCATGGTTCTTTCTTTGCTGCAGAGTCGGGTTTTCCATGCTGAGGCGGGTTGAAGCCAAGACTGATCGACAGGCACGTGGGTCGATGGAACGTTTGTGAGGCTGCGTTGGATTGGGGGCAGTTTTGCTGCTGCACTGTTTATCATAAAAGCTATCATTAACGTTAAGATTATAGGAAGTCTTAGGAACACCAAAATGATAAAGAGTCCATAGTTTTAGATTGATTTTGTATCAATGGCAACGTTGCCTTCGACTCACTGTTGTCGAAGCTGTTGTATCTTCTTTTCTTTGCATACCTTGGTGTTAGTGGTCTGCTGTACGAGCAATTCTGCCTTACAAACTGATCTGACGTCAGAAGTGAGCTACATAGTCAAAATAGGCAAGTCGTGTTCTGTTTCAGCTCCACTCACTCGCTGATCAGAGGCATTGAATGTCACTCTGCAAGGGGCCTTTTCGTCCTGTTCCAATTTGGACTAAACACGAAGGATGCTAACATTCATGCATGACCCTAGACCAACGGCAAACAGATTTATTGTCCGACGTCACAATCAATGCCACGATCATCGGAGGATTCTTTTGTCGTACCAGGCAGAGATGCTTCAGTCAGCATCCCCCTGACTGATCGGCATCAGCTGCACAGCCCTGTGCGGGATCGGCAAAAACCTGGATGGATGCTCGGGGCCGAGAGCTGTGCCGCCCTGTATCACGATGTAACCCATGGTGATCCATCACTAAGCTTAAAGCTTGATAATAACAGCATCCTAGCTTGTTCTGGTAATTCAGTTACTATTCCATGTCTATGCAGCTCCTTCGATACGCAGAAACTTGTTATTTTGAGCCATGAAGGATCGTGTCTCCAAACCTCTTAAAAGTGCCAAGCATCAGTAGTAGGTCTGGAATTGACGCTTCACTCTGAAGTCAAGACCCCGTGCCGAGGCATCGGATTATGTCAATAGCTCAACTTAATGGTGCTCCAGAAGCAGCAAGAGTAGCATAGAACAGTTTTGTCCTCCCCATGATAACCATGCGTCCTTTGCCAGCGAATTGAAAGTTGGCTGCATTGATTCCTGTGTAAATCTTTCCAATGAGCTTTCCGGAACGATTCCAGACATGCACGCCATCGCCGCAGCCCGCATAGACGTTGCCTTTGGAGTCGCAATGAATTCCTAGAGTCAAAGCAATCAGCATACTTTTAGTCTTCCGGGACGAGATCTGCTGGCAGTAAGAAAGAACTAATCAAGCTTACCATCTGGTAGGCGAGCTGCTGTGAAAGCAAACGTCTTGCGATTCTCCCATGTACCATCTTTTTGTACATCGAATCGGTAGCTGTTATCGCTATCAGAAGTCTGGCTGTTACTACTAATCTCAAGGCTTACATAGAGGCAGGACGAGTGTAGTTATGCCCGAATAGTGCGTTGCTTATGCCGGTATCTGTAACATAGGCGTGCAGTCCATCGGGTGAGAAAGTGAGGCCTGCCAACCCCTAATCGTCAGCAATCAATTCACATGAAGCTAATGAGAATTTGCTTCGCCTCACCATTTGGAGCGACGAAGCCATCCGCAACAACGGTTAACGCTCCAGTATCTGGGTCGAAACGGTAGACTTGGTTTTGCAGTCCAGGCTCGGGGCGGAAGTACTGCCAGTAGCCGTACATGGTATCTGTGAAATAGATATCGCCGTTGCGTGGATTGACGGAGACATCATTGAGAGAGTTGAATTGCCTGCCAAAGAAGTTGTTCACAAGTGCTACAATGACGCAGTCAGTAGTTTTCACAGCGCAGAGATTCGAGGGAGACCTTACTTGTTGTATTATATGGCGCTTCGGGATTCATCAGATACAAAGCGGAAGGTATCTTCTCGCCTTGCCCTTCGCCTGCGAAGATGATCTGACCCTTATAGTTCGTTCCGCCTGCGAGTTGTGAGCATGTGGAGACTCTCTAACATCTAGGAACTATACTTACCATTAGGGTTTATGACTTTTGGATTAGAGTCTACAACAGTAATCTTGACTTGACTCTCCGTGTGCGATCCATTCTTCAGAGCTTCAGCTTCGGCCAAAGAAATCTTTTGGATGACAGATGACTTTGCAAGTCCTGTTCCAGCGTCTGGATCGCCTGCGTTCTGCACAAAGAAAACTTCTTCAGTCGGAGGGTTCCTATATAATTGCGTGTTAGTTGTTGAAAGAAAATGCTAGGCCGTGGGGTTTACGAACCATACAACAGCTTCATGGAAGATGGGATCTTTTTCTGAAGTGGCGAGCAAGGTCAAGGTTGGATTGCTTCCAATTATATTGAGGAACTCTGCATCATAAACATGAAATGGTCGTTCAGTAAGGGATTCATAGGAAACTCCCGGCCAGAGGAACCTCTATCACGGTGTCAGCACAGGTCACAGGCATATTTGTGCTAACTCACAGTTGTAGCATTAGCTTCTTTCGGTGGAGGGACATGCTCCAAAACATTGAAGGTCTTCTGGTCGATTATCTGGGCCGTAGCTGGTAGCTTGGCAGGGTCGATGGCAGTAGGGTTTGCCTGAGCCTCACCGAAGAGGCCAAGGCTATAGGGAACCAAGACACCAATAGCAAGTACTCCAATGGCCATAGTGGTAATATTTAAGAATGAGCTTTTCTGTGCTTTGCTGGTTCCTTGTCGTCCAGAGCCATCTCGACTCTTTATTGTCGATGTACCCCGCTTTGTCGACATTTGTGAATCCTTGTTCTGACTCTTCAAAGGTTGTATTCGGGATCGCGCCAATTGATCGGCATGAACGAGGGACACTGATGATGCAGGACAGCTAGGCTTTTCCGTGGATGCAGCAGATGTTCGTCCAGGTAATCTCCCAGTCGCTGTTGCACAGAAGTGAAAACAACGCGGATGCGACGATACTGCGGGGAAGCTTGATGGGGGACAAGGAGAGATTATGAACTCGAGAATGTTTCACAAATGATTACCAACTATTGGACTTCCATAGATATCGATATGAAATGAAGAGCGCGAAGCAATGCCATGAACATTGAAGATAGATTCGAGGTTCGTTCGGTCCATACGGAAAAGCCCGCATTCCGACTGCCGAACCGAACCAGCGGAAAAAGCAAGACCGGGGCATTTCCGACGAAGATGGACCCTACATAGAGAAGCTAGCGATGTTTCATTATATCTAAACCTCGTGTTTTAGATAACATTGTGTTCTGCTACACCATCCTGAAATATTGATCTCTTCGCTATCGCTAGTTGTTGTGTTCATTGAAGTTCAGTGACATCCTCTACTTAGCATGTGTCCACCCACTGAAGCAAGCTGACTATATGCACAAGGTGAGAATATGGCGATGTGGTCAAGTCTCGTGGCTCACCAAGGACGGGAAGCACGCTCAACGAAGCGCAAGGCTTCCATACTGGTACGGAACGGCAAATGGCACGATTCTCTACAGTGGGGTACTGAGGCACGTCGTGAGAATTTAGTCTCCTCTTGGCCCTGATTCGACAACATAAGCGACGATCATGGCGCAGCGAAAAGAACAGCAATGGGTGGGGTTGATGATGTTGACTCCAACATCACATTGCCCATCTCTGCACTCTTAAAGAAAACAGCATAATGCCCAAGGTCTCTCCATGGAAGCAACGAAGCGATGGCCTCTGGAGCCGGCCGCTCATCGGACCCGAGCGCATGTTCGACCAGTGGCTCGAGATCGATGGTTGGACTGAATGGATGGGCGCTGTCATCTTCACAATTGCTCCGTCTTACACGTCCCATCTGAAAAGCAAAACCAATGTTGAAGCTTGGTTCAGCAAAGCGGTATCGCGTGTTTGCCTTGAGAAGCCTTCCCTCCTGGCAGTCATTGAGCGTGGCCAAGAAGAGTCGGCGGTCGCCAAGTCTCGAGACTTCGTTTACCATCCTCTCACTTCAGACAGCGACTTCTCCGAGAGGATCAAGCAGAGGACTACCGTTCTGCATACCGAAAAATCAGCTCAAGAGGGCATGAAGTTGCTCACTGACGACTTCTACTCGGCTCCGGAGAAACGCATCAGCCTAGAGCTCGGAGACCATCTGATCCATGTATCCCTCGTTTTTTCGTCCGCTGAGGCGGGGAATTTTGCCCTTGCAATCCGCTACAATCATGCATTGAACGATTTCTGGAGTGGTGCGGCTATTCTCAACAAACTTCTTAGCAAACTTGCAGACGGCCTGAGTACCACCCAAGTGCTATCGCTTTCATACAAAAATGCATCTCACTCTTCTCTACACCCTTGCTATCTCGACTTTCTCCGTGATCCTATTGGAGACACTCCGTTGGATGCCGAGTCTCAACAAAAGACAGCGCAGCTTCTTGGTGCCAATCTCAGCAATATCACGCTCTGCCCTATCTCGCAAGAGCCGGCAAAAGACCGACCTGACACCGATTATTCTGTGAGAAGGCAGGTTCTGTCGCAAGGGACCACGCAAAAGGTCTTTAAGCTCTGCAAGGAGTATGGGGTTACTGTGACGGCACTATTGACGGCATTACAAGCGCTTGCACTCCTCAAAACCTTTCCTCCGGAAGATGTGTCACGAACCACGGCGGCACCTATCTGTGTGAGCAACAGGCTGCGGCAGACATCTTTCGGTGGCAATCAGGATCGTTCAGCTTCTTCGAAGACAGCATTGAGCGAGATACGTCAAGAGGCAGCCTACATCGGGCCCGTCATGGCGACTACTTTCCTTGTGTCTCCCTTTGACGTGAGTCCATATCTCAAGAACCAGGACGCGTCTATCGGGGACGATAACTGGAGGAAGATTGTTTGGGAAGTTGCCCGAAATGTTGGTCGAGCGACCGATGAGGCGGTCAAGAGCAATCTGAGTGAACATGTGGATTGGACTCAAGGCCCAGCTGCCTTTGGGGGTGTTGCGCATGCAATGGAAGCGATGAAAGCCGGTCTACTGCCTTTGTAAGTCTCCCTGGCATTTTATCATCATAAATCTCTTGGCTAATCATTGCTTCTTCCAACAATATCGATAGACCGCCTGGCATGTTTACTCCTCTGTCATCAGCAGGTCTTTTGGACGGACATCATCTCCCAGGGTCATACGGGTCTCTAGATCCAAATGATAGGCCTGCACTGAATATTGACGACTTTTCGTTTTATTCGCGAGTTAGCAACTTGTTTGGACGTAAGTGCAATATTCCTGCATCTCTCCACGTCGGTCTTGTTCTACAACGAAACTAACTGATTCATACCCAGCTCAAACATGGGCTTGGACCTTCTCAGGAAAGCTCAACCTAATTCTAGTGATGCCTGATCCACGAGTCCGTTCCGTTCCGAATATTGGTTGGTGGAATTTGTTCAATGAGATGATCGTCAATATAGCGACTGAGGGTTCGTCTGATGTTAGTGCTTAGTAGATGAAGCTTAGAATACAAACCGCCGCGCTATAGTGTTTTCATCATGTAGGGCGCACTTTTGAAGTCCGATCACTAGCCGGTGATATAGAGATATTTATCGTGTAATGGCGTAGCATTGGCGTAATCCCGTATGCATGATTGGCTCACCAATAGCATAAGGATCTGACAATCTGACTCAACGCAACACTTGACAGCCAAGAATACAAGGTGCTATATTGGCTTTGCTACTCATCACTGTACCTGGAGTACAGGCTGCAATATCACTGGAGCGTTTGGAGAGATAAAGCACGATATATGTCTCAGGACTTGGCAATCGAACCGTCGCTGTGGCGTCAACAACAAAAGGCGGGGAAGCCATCTCCGACTCAGTCAGATTTCGCGCCTTTCAAGTGTCCTTCACATAATACCCGCCGAGTCGCTCTAAGCCTCAGTCAGTCTATAAGAGTGCGATTCCCAACACTCGAAATACTCGCCACAATATCCCCAGCGATTAAAGATGAACTCTTTTGATCCTCCAGACCAAGGCGCAGAGCTAGACTCTCTGAGCTCTTCCTTCCAAGCCGCATTTGATCGGGTCTTCCAGACTACCCAGAAGGTCAGCGGAGACCCTCTCTTGCGAGCAGCCCAAGGAACGGAGGTTTCTCAACTCAAAGCAATCAGCACTCCTGGCGATGCTCATTCCGTGCAGGCAGCCATTGAAGATGTATTCACCATCTCTGACTATCGAATGCGAACGAACCATCCCAAATGTTTTAGCTTTATTCCATCACCTGCCTCGCCACTTTCTTGGATAGGAGATTGCCTGTCGAGCGCTTTCAACTCCTTTGCTGGATCGAGACTGCAGGGTTCTGGTGTGGCTATTGTTGAGCAGACGCTGCTGCAGTGGCTCTCGGTCAAAGTTGGACTTCCAGATACGTCTGGAGGAATCTTTGTTTCAGGGGGCTCCATGGCAAACATGAGCGGCATGGTGCTGGCAAGAGAATGCATATTGGATCCCGATACTGAACATCTGGGCGTCGCATATCTCTCTGATCAGACACACCATTCTGTCAAGAAAGCCCTTCGCATTATTGGTATCAAAAGAAGTCAAATACGTTCTGTTCCTACGAGCGGATCCTTTCAGATGGATGTGACCGCTTTGAAAGATGCCATCAAAACAGACCGCGAAGCAGGACTGAAGCCTTTTGTCATCGTCGCCACATGCGGGACAACGAACACTGGAAGCATCGATCCATTGGAGGCGCTTGCCCAGGTACGCGATGAAGAGAAGATCTGGCTTCATATCGATGGTGCATACGGCGCGTCAGCTTCCCTTGCTGCAACTCGAAGCTCTGTCGCCAACGGTCTTGGGCTGGCAGACAGTATTTCCTGGGATGCACACAAATGGCTGTTTCAGACATATAGCTGTAGCCTCATCCTTGTGAGAAACAAGATCAACTTGGTCAAAGTTTTTAACAACGACGGCGACTATCTTCGCGATGCGCTCGATGACGAAGAGATACCCAACTTTTGGAACCTTGGCATGGAACTAACACGCCCCTCACGAGCGCTGAAACTATGGTTCACCCTACGAGTGCTCGGTGTGGAAAGATTTGGGACGATGATCGATCATGGGTTTCATCTTGCTGAAATTGCTGAGGCCGAGATTTTAAAGTTGTCGGATTGGGAAATTACAAGTCGAGCGAGTATGGCGATCGTGACCTTCCGATATGCACCTAAGGAAAAGACTGAGGAGGAGTTGGATGAATTAAATGCTGCGATCTCAAAGCATTTGGTGGAAAACAATATTGGATTGATTTTGACTACAAAGCTACGAGGGAGAATCGTTCTGAGGATCTGCTCTATCAGCCCGGTGCTAGGCGGGGGCGAAATGGTGGAGGTTATTCAACAGACTAATAAGGTTGCGCGGCTCATTTCTAAACAGCGCAGTCAATAAGCAAGCATGTTCAACATTACAATTCCAGATATCTCAGCAATTAAATCGATGTACAAATTGTCTCTCACAGCGTGAGATCTTTGATGATTCAAGCTGACTGATGATTATCCACGGAAATAACAGTGAATATGTCAGCTTACAAATGTCCAATGTTTCACCAGGCCCGCATTCGGAAGTTCCGGACACCGCGATATTCCGAAGTGCAGATGCCGTCTTGTTGAGGCCTTCAACCTTATCTCGGGTCTCAGAATTGCGCCATAGCGCGCGGTAGATTCCACGATATAAAATGGCCGGTTTGTCAGCCCCAGATGTGCCACAGACGCCAGCCAAGAACGCTGGCGTTTGAGCGAGTATTTATCTAGACTTCGCACTCCATCTTAGTCTAACCCTCCGTGAACCTCGATCAACAGCACAGCATGTCAGTCACTAAACCCATCCTCATCTCTGGCTCTGGCCTCGCTTCATTGCTACTGGCGCAATCTCTCAAGCAATCCAAGATCCCTTTCAAGATTTTTGAGCGCGATGAATCTTTCATCTTTCGTGCCCAAGGGTACAGGCTCCGTCTTTCAGCGGAGGGCCTCGATGCTATCGAGTCTGTTCTCGATAAGAAGACGTGGCAACATTTCTGGGATGCTTGCGGCAAAACAGGCGGAGGTGGATATCGGGCGTTCGATGCGGTTACTGGAGAGCAGACTGAGCATGTCGTCGGAGAGAATCTCTCGTCTCGAGATGGAAAGATTGTTGGTATTGCCAGAGGTGATATGAGAAGAATTTTCGCAGAGGGTTGCGAAGACTACGTTGAATGGTCGAGGAATGTGACAGGCTACGAATTAACCGACGACGGTGTTCGTGCCATCTTCTCTGACGGAACAAAGTCTATCGAAGGATCGCTGCTTGTCGGAGGTGAAGGCATCTACTCCAAAGTTGCGAGACAGGTCTCGGGCGGAAAACTTAAGGTTTACGACACTGGCGCTAGGGGTATTCACGGCCAAGCACCAACGACGGCATTCAAGCAGCTTGGCGAGGGAGTCTTCCGGCTACGCGACGATACACGGCCCGACGGTCAAGCATTTCTCATGACAAACGTTCGCTCTGGAGATATGGATAACCCAGATGTGAGCTTTGGCTGGACCATGGGCGGAGCACCAGGTGTTATTCGCGCGCCGAACGATAACTACGCGATTGTCGGAAAAGTCGCTGCCGATATCGCAAGGTCAATTGCTAAAGACTGGGACCCAAAGTTCAAGCCTCTGTTCGACAACATGGACGAGGGCGAAGCTGCGTTCTGGAAAATTACTTGCTCAACGCCATCGGGGGTACCAGAATGGAAGAATGAGCCGCGCGTGACGGTTATTGGCGATGCAGCTCATTCAATGACACCTGCGGGCGGGCTTGGCGCTAACACAGCTGTTCGAGATTCAGCGCTGCTTGGACGATTGCTGCGTGAAGCTGGCGGGTACAATCCTGGTGTCACAGCTGCTTATGAGAAAGAGATGAGGGTCTATGCTAGTGAAGCTGTTGGTCAGAGTTATTCCATGGCTGCCGAGGGTTTTGGGATCAATATCGATGAGGAGACGTCCCCAATTGTCTGAAACGTTAATTGAGCGCGCGGGGTTTTGTTTTTTACGAGCGGGTTACGTCATGACGTCAGATTGAGAATCCTCTCGCTTCAAGAGGTAGAGAACAATCAATAAAGCTTTAAGGAGCAGGAAATACAGTCAATTAGACAATATGCATATAAATAGACGGTGACACTAAACAAAATAAGCAGTCGATGGTTGCAGGACATCGGATTGTGGCACGGTATCGGGAAACGCGGCATTGCGTAATGCTCTGCTCTACGAATCACGTGAAAGCTGATGATCTCTGCACGGCCAACGCAGCTAACAGCTCCTTTCATTTTATTTTGATCTGACTGTCAGCAACGTTTCACGTCTCTCATCTGCCTTCTTCATTGTTTCTCACTTGTTTGTTTTGATGAATATACCATGATTCAAATCACATGATTCTCTTGAGCTGTTGCTCCATGACTGGTTGATCTCCTACAAAGTTTACGACAAAACCCTCAAAAGGCGTCTCAAAACGTTACGAATCTACTCCTGGACCCTTCTCAAACATCATCCGACGCAAGAAAGGGGGGTTTTTGACACGAATTGACCATGCGCAACGACAATTGTTCAACGTTGCCAAGAAACTCGACAAGCTCCAATTTCGACGATACTCGTTAATTAACAGCAAATAACGATATCGCGCTGGTCTCGAGCCTCCACTCACTCACTTTCTCCTACTGATATCACTCAGCCATCAATTGGTATCCCAACAATCAACACCATCGTCAAAGTCAAGTCCTCAACCATCGCGATGCTCCGGTCTTGGCGCGATGACGCCTCCAAAAGCGGGAAATGGGTCAGCGTCGTAACCGCGCGCCATCGCCTCGTCAAAATTCTTGGCGTTTTCATCTGTTTCATCTGCGCCCTCACGCTTTGGGAATTCTGGGCAGATCTCTCAGTCGCGTACAAAAGAGTCTCCTCACCAAGCCTCACCCAAACTAACCAAACTCAATCCGACTCTTCAACCCCGCCAAATCCAAACCCCATCTCTACGAGCAGGCCTCAATTTACTGGACCGACTGAGCAGACAACGAAATTCTGGGAGAACCTTGTTGAGGAATTTTATGCGGCGGAACCTCATGGTGATAAGATCAAACCGCCTAATTCTCTATCGCGCGACAAGTTTGATCCCCATGGCTCAGAGGCGCAGATACACACGGACTGGTTGGAGGTATCTGATGAGGAAGCCGAGTCATTGAAAGAGAATCATGCAAGGTTTATGCAAAGCCTTCGACACTTGGCTCCAAAAGTCCCTTTCAAACGCAACACCAAGGGCATTGTCATCACTGCCAAAGGATCAGCAGTTGGCGTTGCAGCGACAGCCGTGCGGATGCTACGACATGTTGGATCACGTTTACCCGTCCAGCTGTTTCTTGACTCGGCAACCGAAGCGGAGCATGAACAGTGCAACAAGACACTTTCCAGTTTGCAGGTGCAATGTTTGAACATGGACGATTTCCTCAAGTTGCCTGATACGACATCCATTAAGCAACCAACGATTGAAAAGTATCAGTACAAGCCTTTGTCGATTATCTTCTCCAGCTTTCAAGATATCTTATTCCTCGACTCCGATGCCTTTCCTATTCGAAATCCTGATCATCTCCTCACCGTGGAGCCGTATAAAAGTCGTGGACTTGTGACCTGGCCCGACTTTTGGCTGCCAACGATATCGCCTCTCTTCTACAAGATTGCCGGAGCCAAGATGCCCAATGTCACCATCGACTCCAGAAGTTCAGAGTCAGGTGTTATGCTGTACAACAAAGCGAGGCATGCAGACAGTCTCTTGCTCGCGGCATACTACAACTTTTACGGGCCAAGGTTCTACTATCAACTTCATTCGCAGGGTGCTTGGGGATCAGGCGACAAGGAGACTTTCATGCAGAGCGCGTTGGTTCTAGGCAACCCCTACTGGCAGGTCACCAAGCCAGCTAAGCTCATTACCGATGAGAAAATCAACTGGGGGAGCGGTATCTGGCAGGCTGATCCTGAGCAAGACTGGAAGCTACAAACACAGAAAGGACGAAATCAAACAACGGTATCTACAAGGAAACAAAAGCTAAGGATAACCGAGGACGAAGTCAACATTACGAGTACAATGTTTGCCCATCTCAACAGAGTCAAATTCGATACTAGGCATCCAAGTCAGGTACTGGAAGACCTAGTACCTGAGCGTCCTGACGGGACTCTATCGCGACTTTGGGGAGACGATGTGGACAAGATCAAAGACGTTGCTGGATACGATCTTGAAAAGGCCATATGGGAGGAGGCCATCAAGGCTAATTGTGACCGAGAGTTGATGGAGGAATGTGACAGGATACGAAAGTATTACGAGGCAACGTTTTAGATAGGATGAGTCAACGTTCACGCGGCCCTAATAATAATATAGATTTATTTTAATTGTCATCATAGCCTATTCAGAATACGTATTCATTCTCATTTTACAGGCCCCAAAGATATGTTTGTTGCCTACTTCTTAGGGGCATACTTGATACCGCTGTCCGGGCAAGAGCTCTTGCTTCCATCAGGCTCACTAGACACAAACTGGCCATCCTGGAGTGAGCCCTTTACATTGAAATGGTACCAAACCTCGCTCAAGGAGCCATTAGAGCATCCGATGGTGACACGGGCACCATGGTGTTCCGCCAAAGCATCCACAATCTCATCAGCAGTGTAAGTCTTTGTCTTGGAAGGCTTGATGCCAGCCTCGGCGAGCCACTTGTAGGTAGGAAGGGTCTTGAACAGTGAGATGGTCTTCTTGACGTAATCGGCGGCTTCAGCGCCGGTCTCGTAGTTGGTGTAGCAGCTTGGCTCAAGGGTGCTGATGCATGTGCCGTGCTTGTTGAACTCGTGCTCCCAGAGAGATTCGTCGTTGCCGTCTTGGCTGACCCAGTACTTGTCCATGTAGGACACGGTCTTTTTGCCGAGGAACTTGGTTACGAGGTCCTTGATGTTGGTGTACTCGCGGGACTTGTCGCAAAACTGGGGATATGTGCCATCGCAGTAATCAGGCCAGAGACCGTGAATGGTCCATGAGTCTAGTATTCGTTAGTTTAGAAAATTGAGATTGTGAGTTGTTGGTTGAATGTACCATGAGGTCCTGCTACGGGGTCGCTATCCCAGAACTGAGTCTGAAGAAGCTGGCCAGCGGGGATGAAGCAGCAAGTGTCTTCAACAGCGGTAGTGTTGTGACATGACAGAGGAAGATCCTTCGAGCAAAACTCAGCAGTGGGCTTACCACCAGCAGAGCAAGACTTTGCCTGCACTCCAGCAAGGTAAAGCGCAAGGGGAATGAGGGCCTTGATGAACGTCATTTTGAAGCTCATAATTAAGATTGACCGACGAAACCGAATAGTGTTTACGAGAAATACAAGCGATACTTATATCCCACTACAAAATACACGTGGGAGGCAAGTGAAATGTTTATCCTCCCTAGTGTCGGACAAAGTCGACAGATGAAGCAGTTGTGTACGGAGCAGACAAGGTGGTAACGCTGATAAGCAGCGATCTGTATCGTCAAAGAACCCCACGTGCATTGTATGCCAGATTATTACCAGGACCTTTTGTCGCAGCCAATGAGGAAGCGAATTGGCCCATTGCAGGGTGTTGATCGGCGACAAAGGGACCTTTGAGGAAGGGAGATGTTGCAGATGTCGGCCAATGCCGTTTGATAGGACTTGCGGCATGAATATTTTGTAGTTTCTATAATTTTGTGAGGTTTTACCAATTGAATTGAGAGGGTGAGTTGCGTTGTATTGTTGACGGGAGTTGATCGAGATTGAGGGGAGAGGTGATGGATCCTTGTAGGTCAATGCCGATTTATCCGTCAACGGTCAACGGTATTCAATTGGGAATGCGGAATTAGCCATCTTTTTTGTACTTGCCTATAAAGGTTACCGAGCATCCAAACTCAATTCATTGTGCAGAGATGGCTGGATGACTGCTTAATTGATGGCCGGATGGTCAGGCAGGTCGACAACCGATCTGCGGGAATACGGCTGACAGATCGGACTGTTGCACTGACAGGCTGTTGTCGGCTGAGGTGACAAAATAACGGTGAATCACCAGTGGGTGGCTTTCATCACTAAATGATGCCTCGGTTAATTGGCGGGCTCATAGCCATGGCGGATCTATTGATTGGCGATTTAGGCCGCTACCACTTTTGTCCGTCCTGTTATCGGATGGACAAGTGAATCAATCGGCGTCGGAGGTTGCCGCTATCACGGACAGTACCGCAGATACTAGCTTCCAAATCAACGGAGTAAATTCATCCACAATTAGTGTGGTTATCGAGCGGTGTTCATTCCGCCATGACCTTATCTTATCGCACGTCACAGCGTACCTGCATGCACCTCTCTTGTCGGCAAAATCGTCATCGTGTAGGAAACATTTCTCTACCAGGTTCGTGATAGCAAACGCATGAGTGGCATATAAACATCATCCGACATCAAGTTATAAATGGAAAAGGAAAAAGCAATTGCCGCTGATCAGTGGTCATGAGGGTCATTGAAGTTTAAGTGATATTTTTGGCATGTTGGTGTAGGGAACTTCATCAACCTCAAACACTCTTAAACATTTGCACAGCCGCATCGTACCTTGTTGGCATGTCCCTTGTGTACAAGATCGGCATTTGCATTTCGCATTGTGCATTGATGCCATCGATAGTTATGTCTATGCAGAAGTTATTTTAAAAGTTTATCATGTTGGGATGCAGCTTGATGGCTGTCGGATTCCTCTTTTCAAACAGACCATTGAAGGAACGCGAGGCTCAATGAGGGTGTTGTACGACCAGAAACTGAAGCCATCTTTCCAGCCTCGCACATTGAGTTTTTCGTGTCCCCGGTAAAGCTAAGGTCGTGGGTTCGAGCTCTGCATCAAACGTTTTCCTGTTCGTTTTTCTCAGCCTTGGCAATTGAGATAAGATAAGTCATGTTCAGCTCAGGGGCAGAGCTGGCCGATATCCGAAACCCCCGCCACAGCCGTGAGAAATTCTCCGATCATCTCCAAGAATCCTCCATCCCTTTTCAGGTACCCAGTTGCGAACCTCTAGGGCTGAACCGTCATAGGGTCGTATACGGATACGTTTAATGATGAGCTCGCTTCAAGGGTGAGCTTCGTGCCGTGCCCACTAGAAATTTAATATCAGATCATGAATGAGTCGCTGTCTTCGCTTGTCGGCAATAGCGGATCGTGGTCCCATAGTCATGACTTTCGGAGATGCACCCAACAACCAGCTCAGAGACTAGAGTTGGTACAGCGATGGACAAACTACGCAACAAGCATCACGGTTTGAAGAATAGATTTTACCTGTCATCTGACTCTCAGTGACATCCAACATTAGAAGCATTGCATAATATACAATGCCGTTCTTCTTCCATCGCAATGGCATTGTCATCAACAATCAACAACGAAATGCATGACTGTAGGGTAGCATTTGATCTTGGTGGAGTAGCATCCTTGAGCAGCTTCTTCTCGATTGAGAAACCAACAAGACCAATCGGGCATCCCTTTCGCCAAACTTTCTATTCTCGTCACCATCACCCTTAGTTTGTTTTACCATCTCAGGTGAAAACGCAAATGCCATCCCTGCCATGATGTGATCGCTCAGCAGCTCTGCCTGACAGCTCCAGAGCTGTTCTGTGGCTGCGGGCCGTTTGATGCCCATTGCGCACTAAAAGCTACCCACTGATTTCTGTTTCAAGCTCTCCTGGGAAATGTTGCCGAGGGAGCAATCAAAACGAGACGGATCGACCGGGGAGAGTCCACTTTTCGTCGATCCGGCATTGGTGTTTTGTTCAGGTGGTGGCGTTCTCAGCTAGATGCATTTAAGATTGCGGATGGGGTACTGAACCAAGTGAACTCACTATCTATAGAAGAAATCACCTGAAACGAATCTTTCTGGAACAAAAACTGAAACTAACTATTCCGAGAGGATCTTGGATCTGCGCCTTGACTCTACGCTTTGGCATTGCGTTTTTCCTAGTACGGTAGACGAGCCTCTATCCTGGTCGTGATTCTCGGCCGTTTTTTGCCTTATGCGTTAGCTGAAGATGCTGGTCAATGATGTTCATAACAGATCGAGACGAGCAATAGCCGAGGACCACGAGTGACATCAAGCCGATGAGTCGATTCAATACGCACCGAGACCAGAGAAACAACATGTGATATGCAATCTCGTTATCATGCATACAATTTCAACACTGCAGTAGTGTCTTCCTCACATCCATCTCAACTGACTCGAACCCCTGCCGGCTAAATTTGGAAGAAACAAACAAACGTCAAAGCCCTTCACCGTCACCACCAACCTACGGTAGAACCTCATGAAACGTCTGAGCGGCGATCGGATTGACACTAGGTCATGGCTCAAACCGCTGGACCCGAGTTGACCGAGAGCTCTGTCGTGCTGACCAGCATCAACCACCAAGTTCCTGTCACACATGACTCTTGACATGAGAGCTCAACTCAGCTTAAAAGAAAGCTCATCGCCGGCTTCAATGTCTTGTTTCTTTTCCAGCATCAACAGTCGTTCTATCTGCTTTTTTCCTATTATCTCTCTTTTCTCTTTTATTTCCTTATTACTTTCGTTTCTGAGTTTCTCTTAGTCACTCGCTACTATTATCAACCACTCTCGCTTTACAAGCTCAACAAACTACAACAACTACTACAAATCTTTATTTTTTATTATCATCATTCCAACACTCGTTTAACGCCATGCGTTTCTCTGCTGGACTCATCCCTGCCTTGGGAGCTCTTGCTTCGCTGGGCGAAGCAACTCCTACTTTCCTCGGTGGTGGAGCATTAGGCTCTGCTGGCGGCGAGATCTCAGGTGGTGCTGATGCCCATCTCGGAGCTGGAGCCGGCGGTAGTGCTGGTGCTGGTGCTGGTGCTGGTGCTGGTGCAGGAGCCGGTGCTGGAGGTCACCTCGGCGGTAGCCTCAGCGGTGGAGCTTCCGGTCATATCGGAGGTGAGGCCGGAGCTGGAGCTGGTGCTGGTGCCGGCGGAAAGGTCGGTGCTGGCGCTGGTGGCAAGGTTGGTGGTGAAATCGGTGGTGAGATTGGCGGTAAGATTGGAGGAGGTGCCGGTGCTGGTGCCGGTGCAGGAGCTGGTGCTGGTGCTGGCGGAAGCGCTGGCGGCAAGATTGGTGGCAGCATCGGCGGCGGCGCTGAAGGTCACCTCGGAGGTGGTGCTGAAGGCGGTGCCGGTGCTGGAGCTGGTGCTGGTGCCGGCGGAAAGGTCGGCGCTGGTGCTGGTGGCAAGGTTGGCGGTGAAATCGGTGGTGAGATTGGCGGTAAGATTGGAGGAGGTGCTGGTGGAAAGATCGGTGGAGGAGCTGGTGCCGGTGCTGGAGCTGGCGCTGGCGGCAGCGCCGGTGGTCACCTTGAGGGTGATATCAAGGGTGGCGCTGGTGGTAAGATTGGAGGTGGTGCCAAGGGCGGTATTGGCGGCCACCTCGGCGGCGGTGTTGGAGGTAAGATCGGAGCTGGCGCTGGTCTTGGTGCTGGCCTCGGTCTCGGCGGTCTCCTCGGTGGTGGTATCGAGTGGAACGCCGGCGGTGGTGCTGACTGGCACACTGGTACCTCCTGCAGCATTGGCAACGCTTGGAAGGATCACATCCTCTTCCAGGGCATCTGCGCTCCCGAGACTTCGACTACTCCCGCTGTCAACCTCGGCCTCAACCTTCCCAGCTGCCAGATCACTGGTGACATCGGCTTCGCTTGTGGTGCTGACTTCCTCACTACTCCCAACGTTCGTGTTGGTCTCGGTGGCATCTCTGCTTACATCGAGATCGATCTCTCTGCTTCCGCTGCCGTCCACCAGTCCGTTGAACTCTTCGCTGCCCCCAAGCTTGGTATTGCTATTCCCGGTCTTGACGCTGAGCTGAAGGCTGCCATTGAGGCTGCCATCGCTATCGATCTCGTCGTCGGCTGTGGTAAGGCTATCGATCTCTCTGCTGGTGTCTACGTCAAGTTCCCCGAGTCTGCCTACGTCGACATCTCTCTGCTCACCAAGGAGGTCATCCACGCTTCTCTTGAGGGTCTCGTCACCAAGGCTCTCCCCGTTGGCGTCGGTGCCGATGTCGAGCTTGGTGCTGGTATTGATCTTCAGCTTGGTCTCCGTCTTCGTTCTGAGCTCAGCATTGGCGGCGGTCTCGAGATCCCTGTTCTCGGTCTCGGTGGCAAGGCTGGTGCTGATGTTGGCTTCGGTGCTGGTGTCTGGTTCTCTCTCTTCGACTACACTGCTACCATTGGCGGCGGTGCCGGCGCCAGCGCTGGTATTGATGTCACTGGTGAGTTTGGCTGCAACCTTGGTCTCGCTATCGACAAGAAGTTCGACTTCAGCGGTGGTCTCTTCGGTCTCATCCCCAACCTCTCCGTCGGTCTCGCCAAGGGTATCAAGTCTACCTTCTCCCAGAAGACCCGCGGTACTTGCGGCAGCTTCATCGGTCACTTCAAGAAGGGTGGCTTCATTGGCGGTCCTACCATCTCTGCTTCCGGTGCTATCACTGCTACTGGTGGCGCTTCTGCCGACATCACCATTCCCGCTGGCGTTACCCACTCTGTCGAGTTCTCTGGTTCCATCGGTGTCCCTGATGTTTCTGCCTCTGTCGACATTCCTGGTGCTTCCGGTGACCTCACTGGCTCCGACTCTCTCCCCGTCGCTACCACTGGTGCTGAGATCCCCTCCGACTCTGCCTCATACGAGGCTCCCGCTGTTACTGCCTCTGGTGATGTGACCGGCTCTGCCGAGCTCCCTGTTGCTACTGATTCCGTTGAGGTTCCTGCTGGCTCTGCTTCTGGCGATCTCACTGTCTCCGGTGCCATCCCCACTGGCCCTGAGGGCGTTCCCGCTCACACCATCCCTGCCGGCGGCGATGTCACTGCCATCTTCGGTACTCACACTGCTGGTGCCACTGTCACTGTCTCTGGTTCCGAGGGCTTCACTACTTACATCTCTGGCTCAACTGGTTTCACTACCGTTGTATCTGGCTCCGAGGGTTACACCACCGTTCTCTCCGGCTCTGAGGGTGACTTCACTACCGTTGTCTCCGGATCTGCTGGCTTCACCACTGTCGTCTCTGGCTCTGAGGGTTTCACCACTGTCGTTTCCGGATCCGAGGGCTACACTACTGTCGTTCCTGGCGACTCCCCTACCGCCACTGGTGGTTCCGACTACAACCTTCCCTCCGCTCCTGCTGGTGGCAACGCTGATGCTACTTCTGCTGGCAACGTTCCCGCTGAGTCTGGCAGCCTCCCTGCCAGCACTGGATCCCCCGACTCCGACAAGCCTGCTGTCACCACTGGCTCTGGATCTGATGCTGAGGAGACCTCTGCCCCTGTTGTCACTGCCGCTCCCGATGCTTCTGGCATGATCACCAGCACCATCCGCGAGACTCACGTCTACACCATCACCTCTTGTGCTGCCTCTGTCATCAACTGCCCTGCTTCTTACACTCAGAAGATCGTCACCCAGACTGTCATCGAGCGCACCACCGTCTGCCCTGCCACTGCCACTGCTGTCCCTGAGACTCCCGTCGAGGGCGGCAACGGTTCCAACCAAGGCGGTGACTCCAAGCCTGGTGAGGGTTCTGACAACGGTAACAACGGCTCTGCTCCCGCTCCTACCTCTCCTCCCGATGCTGCTAAGACCACCATCGACCTTGTCACCATCACACAGGACGTCACCACCATCGTTCCTTGCACCAAGTTCGTCACCAGCACCTTTGTTGCCCCTACCACTGTTCACGCCCCTGCTGCTCCCACTGTCACCATCATCCAGGGACACACTGGCCAGGCTCCTCAGGAGACTGGTACCCAGCAGCCCGGTGCCTTCACCACTCTTACCCGAGTCCCGGCCACAGCCACCGACTCTGGTGCCTCACCCACTGAGGGCTCTGAGCAGCCTGCCAACCCTCAGGCCCCTGGTAACGCTGGCCCTGGTGCCCAGCCTACCTACAACGTTCCCTCAAACGGAACCATCCCTGGAGGCAAGCCCTCCCCCACTGACCAAGTTCCCGTTGTCGCTGGAGCTTCTCTCGTCAGTGCTGGATCTATGCTTCTCGCACTTCCTATGGCTCTTGCCTTTGTCATGTAAATAGCTTAATAACGATAGCTCTTTGGCTCTCAACAGATAGAACGTAATTCATTTGACTCCGAAAAGTTTCTTCTTACTATTTGCGACCCTTTCAACCTTCGGCTCTTGTGACTGCTTATCTTTGACATCTTTGCCTTTAATCGCTGAACAATCTCCTCGCTCCCAGTTCTTTGGTGTTTCCGTGATAGCCTTATATGATATGTATCAAGTTGTTTGACATGTTGATTGATCTTTATCAGCTACTTCTATTGGATCAATACTGCGTATGTATCCATGGTTTTGGAGTTCTCACGTCGTCAATTGCCAGCTCGCCACGGCCCACGAATTGGATCATCGGTGTACATTCGCACAAAACCGTTGTGAACCAACTTCACTGGCTGACTGGCTACAAAGTGCAATAAAGCATGCTTTAACAGCGAAACCTGGACGATTTATATCTCGCAGCCACTGTTCATGTTGAGTTGGACGGATTGACAGTCGACCATCAGTTGCAGACAAATATGTTACACAACCGAGACAGCGCAGTCAGAAATGTGTCTCAGTGACACCTTACGCCAGTCACTGTGAAGTCTTGCTTCCGACGGATTGGCAGTATACCCTGGCCTCAAGATGACAATTATGAGGCCTATAAGGCCCAGGTCAATACCCAAGCCAAGGTGGACTTATGAGTGATGTGAAATGTTATAGAATACTCAACGGCGCTGCAGCGGTGTCGTGGAAATTAATAATTTTATGAAATTAGTTAAAGACAGAAAATCATCACCGTAACGCCTTTTTTCGTGTATTGCCCAAACGCTCAAGCCGCCCAATCCGTTCCGTGTATGCTTATCTCGATGACCTAACCTTTGACACATGCACCACAGTTTCGTTTTTGACCATGATGCCCCCAACGGCTGCTGCATGCTCCAGATTAGCCGAGCTACCGGGACCTGTCACAGTAGCAATGTTTCCATGTTGTTGATCTTCGTGCTCGAACTCCGAGTTAAAAGATTCGCTTCCGCTTGGCTCGCTTCTAGCGAGCTCGTGTGTAGAGCTTGACTCGTCCTTCCCTATAGTTCCTAGACGAATGGAATGTTTTGTTTGGCTTCGACCGTAGTTGCTGCCGAAGTTGTTCGACCCTGAACGGATTGATGATACGGGATTCGTGCAGGTGAAGAGATAGAGGCAGGCTGGTCGGATGATGGGAAGACAGGCTGTAAAGGATTAGTGTGAGGCATAAGGGACCGGAAGGTAAGACTGACTGGATAATGTCACCAAGTTGACCTCGACTGATGCCCAAATAATGACGGGAGCCAATTGCCATGTCATGTCGACTGACTTGTTGTCGAATGATGCTGACACACTGACAATGACGAGACCAGCTACGCAAACCCTGGAAGACGTATTAGCACGAAGCCATTAGTGGGAATGCCGAGAGAGATCCTACAGAATACCGAACATGAACATGAAGATAATCGCAATCTTCTGCAGGGTCGGGAGCTGAAGCTTCTGGATCTGAACGATGGGCAGGATCAAGATGCCGACGTCTATTAGAACGTGTGCAAGCACAGTACCAAAGAAGAAGTCACTGCTCTTGATGGCGCAGGTAAAATGTTCCATCGTAGGATCCCAGAATGCTCGCACAGGGTAACAGTGAAATGTCGTCAGGAATGTCTGAGATAATGTGAGCTTAGGCCTTGTGGTCTCTTGAGGTTGCTTACGCGAACGAGAATCCAGAGAATGGAGCAGACCAACAAGACCGAGACGAAGATCTGGATGTTTGCGACACGGAACATGCGCCAGTAGAAGGATAGGATGGAGATCTTGGCGAAGAAGAGGGTGAAGGCGTAGAAGTGTTCCATTATAAAAAGATATTTCTTGGTTGTGTAATTGGCTTCCGTAAAGGTCATGCCCTCTACATCCTTCGCGTGCAATCCGAAGCCATGGTGAATCCCTTATGAGAAGTCAGCGATTGTCGTTGTCGATGTCGAGGAGAGATCGTACAGATAGGCAATACAGTGCCCCAGCAAACAGCAGTGGCCTTCATGCTGTTAACAATAATCCCAAGTAGTCGCGTGTCCATCAACATACATAACTTGCACAGGCAAAGTAATCATCCCACCAGAATCTGATCCTCGTAATTCTTCGGCTGACAATGCGTAGGATAAGAAAGATAGTCGCAGCTGCAAAGGTAATGTACTCGGCCGCCCAAAGATCAGGCTGCCTCGACCGCATTCTGGTGTATCTCGTGCAGCGTCAAGAAGTAAAAAGACAATTGAAGTCCCCTCGATTAGCGAAAAGCTGGATGTGGAACTCCCGGGATGATATACGTCTGCCGACCATGTCAATGAGCACCGTCGATCATTTCATGCGGCTAAGTAGCCTTGTAAAGATGCCGTGCTAGACCAAGCCTCGATCCAGGGGTAGGATGCTCCGACAGAGGGTGAGGTTAAGCCGTTGATGGAAGGTCCAGGCTGCGTTATGCGTGGAGATTGAGAAGCAAAGACCATCTGGGAAGAGGCTAATGGATAAAGAATCGTTGAGCCGTTTGCTAAACTTGGCGATCGGGACATGTGCAAGCATGTAAAATGGTAGGCAGCCACAATTGACCACGGGCCGTTCAGCATATTGAAGACGGACGGGGTTGCACCGTTACGGTGAAGGCAAGGCGGGGTGTGCCAAGAAGAGAAGCACTTGTTTCATCTTGGACATTCGTAAAGAAGTCAGACCGGAAATGCCGAGTTATTGTTGGTCATTGAATGCCGACTAACCCAAAAACTCACTTCAGTCAGGCTTTGCAGGTTGGTTGTTTGGTAGCAGTCAAAGCGTGTCACTAGGATCCAAGCCCCAGGTTCCAGAACAAGGGTTCTCCATGATCTCCAGGCTTATTCATCAGGATTGGGGACTTCTCATTTGATAGGGCTCTTAGTAGTGCAACACCCTGGTGAAGCGGCTGATGCGATCCGACTTTTAGCTTTAAACTCTATTGTCCAACTCGAGTTTGAGCCTTTGAACCGTCCGTGGCCGTTTTCCCATCGTCTCTTCGCCTAGATTGTTTCAAATTTCCACCCATCACTAGTGTCGATCTCGACATTGTCGCGTGATTTGGTCTGTGGTTACTGGTTCATTGTTCCGGGTCGAGACTCAACCGACGGTTTGGGTGTTGAGATGCTACCCTTGCCCTGCTCGTGCTGAAGGTTCACTAGTTTCTGGGCAGCATACAGGGGCTGGCATTTCAGGGCGAGCGCGCTTGGGGTAATATCACTATCACGCAGTCTAAGGACCTGAACGCCTTGGGAAAAGTTTGAAGTGCGCTGACTTGGGGGGAACGCGTGTCGGCCATTTAACAGAGTTTGAACTTTCGGGGCTTAACAGGAGGCTCGGCAACTTTTGCAACGTGCTTGACAGGAGTTAATGTTCCGGCTGTTGGCTTGGATATTCGCGATATCACATTTTCGCTCCAGTCTTTAAAGCAAATGCAGGTTATCGATCCCAAAAAGCAATATTCAGGCATCAAGCCAGAACAGTTTAGGTTCCGAGAGCAAATGCTCATGTCTCTGCCCAGGAGGAACGTTGGCCGACGTCAAGGATTAGGCTGGGGCCTGTCGATCATTTCCAGGGCCCATGCCCCCGGCATCGACACGCGGAGACGCCGTTCTGTTGCCAATTTATTAACACGGGACGATCATCTTCATTCACGCCAGAATACGTTGCAGTACGTGCTCACGGCAACGGACGTTGAACCATTCGGGCCTTTAGCTCAATCGTTCAAAAACCCAATCGAAATTAATCGAGGCCAACTATTGACACACACTATTGATCCTCTGGCCAAGTTCAATTTGAGACCAGATTGGGACAAATCCATTATCTTAAAGAAGTAAATACTATAGTAAACGTAAACCTTGTACCTAGTGACGCGGAGAACTGTTACCCTACCTTCCTAGCTTCCCCAGTTTCACAACCGAGGTTCGGCATATGAAGTTGTCAGATATGACAGGGAATTGTTGACGATGTTTCGTGTGGAGATTGGGAAATGTTTTATGACAAATGAGAATCAGATAAGGCAATGACCTGCATTTTTCAGCTGAGCCTGTTCAAAAATCATATTGTATTTATTAGCGGTAATCAAATTTCCATCTAAGAAGATTTACCAGGTTCGCCATTTAGTAACAGCAAAAGGTTCAGTAGTCAACGATGGCCGATTTTCTAGTCCGTAAGCTAACATAACCATGATAACAGCTAATCATAGTCGCAATTCGCTTAAGATGAGGTTTCATTCCCGTCGATCTTGCTTAGTCGAAGATTACAAAAACATTGTTTGTGCGTGGTCAAAAGAGGCAGGGCACACAATTCCCCGCCTCGTCGTTACATCAACAAAAACCATGAATGTGCCAACTGCAACATACTCATCGTGCGCGAAGCAATATCGAGTGCCGCGGTATCCTTTAAACTTTAGTATCGACTCCACAAAGAAGCAGATACCTGATTCATGACGGGTGTAACGGTGCGGCTACACCCGCGTTTCTCGATTTTCTCGGTCAGTTACAGCTGGCATATCATCAAAAAATACCCCCTGAGCAAGGAAGAGAATTGGAATGATGATCATTACTGTTGTTGAGCCGTTTAACGATCCATGTTAGGATCACGGATCCATGTGCAGCTGATTTACCTGAGGCTGACGAAGGTTACGTATGGTTCAAAGCTTCAAGTTCAAACCACCTGCTGGATACCGTTAGCATCATCAAGATTTTTGTTGAGAATTCCTGTGCTCTTATCCAAATACTGCGTGGCTGAGAAACGCTATCGCAGTGAAGATGTATGTCTCAGTCCCTCAAGCAGACTGCAAATCAAAGACCCTGGGAGACCATTCCGAATGATTCACGAACTGTACTCACTAGCAGCTGATATCGTCTCTGAAACTGCTATTGATATACATACTAATCACAACAAATACAGTCCGAAAACTTTGAGCTGGATGCAACAGGCACAGGTGTATCTTGAGACATGTGAGCCTGTACCATGTTCCTATCATCCGCTTTGTGAACAGTGCGAGGCGAGTCTGTTCTGACGACTTGCAGTTCCTGCTCTAGTCCGTCCTCTATCAGGAGCTTTTATGGATCACTCAAGCCATAATGAGAGGCCTGAGACTGCTAATGCAGATATCATTGAATACAACCGTCCTTATCCTAACTCAAACCATGGAAGTTAATCCCGGCACAAATTTACCTGAATATTGCAGCTCATGTTACATGAACATTTGGTGGCGATGCCGACTTCTTTCTAACCATGATATACAATTCTGCAACGCATACGAGACTCAAAGTGTTTATTTTTCTTTGCCGTCGCCAGGGATCAGGCATCGAACGACTTGATATGCCTTGATCTTGAACCCTCAGCCGGAAAGCTCGACTGTAACCTGACCCAGGTCTCCTTCGTACTTGGCAGTCAGTACCATATGGTTTGGAAGGCGCTTGTAGCAAGACCTCGCGTTGATGTCTCCACGCGCGGTCATGAGCTCACGAGGGAGCATTGTGGTAAATTGATAGCCATGAATTAGTTCTATAGTGATTTTTTCAAGTGTATCGAGTGCTCATGCTGGCTGAGAGCTGAAGCTTACTTCGATCTTGCCTATATCCTCCTTGAATGGATTATTTGTTGTCAAAATAGATAGATTTTCATGTCTCGAAGAAGTAGACTCAATAGCTGAAACTGAACTCATGACCTTCTGATCAATCTAGAACGACTGCGGCTTGCGTGGAACTACAGGCTAACGATCTGGAGGTGCTGGCGTGACGCAAGTCCCAGATCCGGATTGGTGGATTTGGATTTCTGTGATCAAAAATACTTCTTCTTGCACGTAAACTCGGGTCAGCATGAAGTACCGTCTATCTTGAGCTTAAGATCAAAATCGCCTCCTCAGCTCCCATCTTTGCGCTACTGGAGGTCTGGTACCCAATTAGATAATGTTTTCCCGGGCCGAGACCACGACTGGTGTTTATCTAGAGGCACAAGAACCTGTAGTGTTGCCACTAGGTCATTTCGCATTGACTACTGTCGATAGATCACCACGTTGTCAATAGTTGGCCGAAAAGGGTTCAAGTAGGATCTTGTCGACCCAATTGAGGGGTTCAGCTGCCCCTCATCAGATCGGTAAACGCCAGAGCTGGAAGATTTTGGTTGATATACTGAGACAGATCAACTGATTCTGGATTGGCTTATACTGATTGCACTGGTCGGGACCATGAGGCCTCTTTTGTTCCTGTAGATATAAAAGTCTAAGGTTTGCGAGGCTATTTCAAGAACGAACCCAATTCCAATTTCTTCTGTGATATTTCTCTTCCTGTAATTCTGAGGCAAAAGATCCCTATCAGAGATCTCAGAGCACCGAATTATCACAAACACCGAATCCTTCAAATCATTGTCTTCTTTTCCTTTCAATCATGCCCCCTCCTCCTCGCCCCAGCCGTGGCAGACCCGGCTTTTCTAAACAGGACGAGGATCTCTGGAAGGCTTATGCCAAAGGACTCCAGGCAAGATTCTTCAGCAATTTTGACACAAAGAATGAGATCTTCTATGCTGCTCCCGTCGGGTTGCTCGGCATCCCTGGTGGTGACAACATCACTCAAGAAATCACTAACAAAGGAGTTTACGAGATTGGTGATGCTCTCATGCAGTTGGACGCCCCTGTGTTCGCTTCCGGGGGCAAGAAGTACTCTCAGCGACTTCAAGAGTAAGACCCCCTTCGTGATACTGAACTCAACGATGACTAACATAAGCAATAGAGTTCTAGGGGCCGTGAGGCTCGGACGGAATCGAGATATGGGTGCCGAGAAACGAATGAACGACATCCAAGCAAAAGTCAGAAAACTTAACGCAGAGTATGCAGAGTTGAGCGAGAAAGCAATGGAAAGTTACGCGGCCGACGAAGATAAAGGCAACATGCCTTTCGGACAGTGGGTTTCAATGAACGTAAGATAATTGTCCATTCCATCGAACCCCTCCTATCTCAGAACAATATGTTAACCACCTATCGGGCATACAGTACCCGAGTTTTGTCGCTTTATCTCGAGAAAAGCAATCCGCCGCTGCGACTGAAGCATCTCTGCGCGCTCAGATTGCCGGACCTGGCGCTGATCAGCTCAATAGACAGAGGCAGAGGCTGTTCAACGCCTGCGAACCGGATAGGGACCATCCTGGTCTCAACATGCCATGTGCCCTAAGCTTTGGCAACATCACCAATGGTTCTTCTGATCTCTCCCAGGAGAGCGGTAAATTGCCGAGACCTGCTTATACCATTGACAACTTGTACAGAGATACGGTCGGAAACTGGACCAGGGGCTCCACCAGCGAGAACAAGCTGAACCTGACCTTCAACATCAATGATGCCAAGTCAGACAATTGGGACAAGTTTGGTTTCGTCAATGCGAACGCCAATTCACGCTTCACTTATTTCTTCACGGCGACCTACTTCCAGGACCGTCAGAAGAAAGAGGATGTCATCACGGCTCAGGATGTCGGTTCTGAACTCTCAGTGAATCTGTCAGCGGCCGAGGCTGGCGTCTTTACTGTCAAGGCAGGTGACTGGGATGTGCCTAACATTATGGAGGAGTACCGAGATTTCCAGCCCGACGCTGCTCGTAACATTGGTCCTGCGGCCAGAGTTGACCAAGTCATTCTGGCTTACAAAGTGTTCTTGAAGATCTCCTTGCCAGCTAATGTGGCCGATCGTGTCAATGACCTAACTCAAAAGGCCAAGAGTTCCGGGGGATCAGTGAGCCTCTTTGGGTTTGAGGTTGGGTTTGGTGGGGGAAGCAAGGATGAGGTCAACATCTCTGGTTCGTCTATTGAAATTCGCAAGGACCTTGGATATCCTGTGTTATTGGGTGTAAAGGGCAAGAAACTTCCAGGTCTTCAAACTGGTCGCTAGTTGGATGTGCCCAAGCACTGAGAGGACTGTTGAAGTGGACACCATACTGTTGGATAAGGAGTTCTCATTGTAGATATTATGCGCAGGACTGAATACAAATGATGCTAAAGAACGGTACAATATAGTATTTGACGCTGAACAAATTATGTAACAAGTTTCTTAGTGCTTTCACCAGTAACGTGATTCGCTGACTCAGGATCACGCATCGAAGTATGAGTCAATCAGCCAAGATGGCAAATTGAAGAATAGACTGAACTTGGACTTGTCATCATTAAAATCCCCCAAGAAAGATTTCAGTCCCCCACGATAACATGGGGGAACAGGACCTTCTTCAACAGCTCAAGGACACGCCGTTTGCCTGCTCATCTCTAACACGTTTGAGCGGTGGCAGCGCCAACTATGTCTATCGAGGCATTCTACTCGATGTAATGCCTACAGGAGATGAGTTTTGGAATGTGAAAAGTGTTATCGTAAAATATTCACTGGGCCATATACCGGGAAATGCTGGGTTCAAACTCGACTTATCACGCTGCGTATGTCCCCATTTGTTCTCCTTTCTCATCAAAGCCAAAGAACCGATGTACATAAGCTAGATAATGGCTATCCACTGACCTTATTTTCTATACAGTCTGTCGAGAATATCGTACTGGAGTACATGAGTCAGCCATCGCTGTTGACCATGAAAGTCAAGGTCCCTGTTACTTATTTTCTAGATCGCAATGCTCACAGAGGCATTGCGATACAACAAGACTTCCGCCATTCGACAGACATAGCATCCATCATACGTTCAGCAGAGCTGAGTAACTTGTGGATGCGTTCCAAGGCACTATCTACTAGTCAAGAGGTTGGACACTGGCTACGTTGCTTCCATGAATGGGCCTCAGAACCTCAACAAGTAGATTTCCGAAGCAAGATTGGCCGCAACGTGCCCATGCAAAGACTCAAGCACAAGGTTACCTACGGCACATTCATCGACATCTTGAAGAACTTTCCCGATATCCTGCAAAAGAACATCGGGGTTCTGGAAAAGGTCAAAGAACGAGCAGAACTCGAGCTTCTGGACCTGGCCAGCCGCAACGAAGGACCAGATCAAGGTATGATCCATGGAGATTGCTGGATGGGAAAGTGAGTTACAGAGACCCATGAAGCCGACATAAGCAGTAGCTCTGACTTGCTAACTAGCGTTCTACTATCGAAATCTTCTCCAGCCCCAATCGGCTCTGATACAGCTACAGACATCATCTTCATTGACTGGGAAATGTGCCAATTCGGCCATCGAGCGTATGACTTGGGACATATGATAGGTGATCTGTATGAGGCGTATCATTTTCACAGCTCGGATATCGCTTTGATGATGATCCGAGGGTTCATGGACGGCTATGGGGAGATCAACGACGATATGGCTTTCCGAACGGCCATTCACGCCGGTGTGCAGTTTCTGGGATGGTATAACCGTCGTGCCCCATCGGACTCTGTGAAAGGGACTGGAGAACAGATTTCGAGTGCAGCAAAAATCTCAACGAACTTGATTGTTAATGGCTGGGAGCGGGAAAGGCAGTGGTATCAAAGTACTCCATTGGCGCCATTGTTCCAATCTGGTGCGTAGATCACGGCATTTATGAACAGGCTCATTAGTTACCTCGTATGCACAAGCGACTAGCGAAATCGTGCCTCTCCGCCTAGCGATGCCATATGACATGTTAAGCTTTCTATAGAGTAATCATTGATCGGCAACATCGAGGGATCAAAGGGTTTCCTTTCGCAGCTGATCATTTCCCTCCTCTTGATGCTGTAAGACGGCGCAGTCCTGCTCGCGCAATGAACCCAACACGGTTTAGCGCCATATTCCCGTGGCACTCTCTAGTGACAGCCTCCACCTCGATCAATGTTCCTCATTGGGAATAACCTCAATGTAAGACGCCCAACATGCGACAGAGGGTCACCTATAAGACAGGTGCTGTGCCCAGATGAGATGTATCACACAGATAATTCCAAGAGATAATCTTACCAACATCGTATTGTTTTACGCATTGAATCTTCAACTCTCAGTCACAATGTATCCCCATCAACTTGACTACCAACAGGCCCTACCTGTAGAATTACCAGCTGAAACAGTCCCTCAATACGACTACACATACCAACCAAACCGTCATATCTACCTTCCACAAATACTACCCCCCTCGCCTCCCATGGAAAGACCAACGCTATCTCCATCACGTCCCATTCTCATCCCTTCAACCTCAATCACAGGCTCACTGGAAGTCACTCCACCATACCACCGGGCTTATCCTCCTATTCTAAACTCCTACGGCATCTCTTCAAAAGAGTTCATGGCCATAATCGATGCTTTGAACATCGCTCTCGCTGAGCCAGCGCCATTCAAAGCAATGGAAGTCGCAGGCGATGGCCTCGGTTTCGTCCCCAATGAAATCGCCCAAGGCGTTTCTTTGGGGCTTGGACTAGCTGCGGGTACTGGAACTGCTGCTACTGCATATTTTCGAGAAAGAAAGGTACTTGAGAGAGTGAATCGAGATATCTTCGCACCAAAGGGCTTGGTGATGAAGACCATGAAGGATGAGGAAGTGATGCAACGACTCAACACCACGGCCAAGAGTCTTGACCCACTACTAAGATTGCGAGAGATTGCATCACAGGTCGAAGTTTTGTCTTTCGACGTTGAACCACCAGTCAGACGCTCCAATATGCTGGATCGCATCAGCGCAAAACAGGCTGCCATCAAACAAGCCGGCAAGGAGAAGAAAAAACTCAAGAAGCAAGAAAGACGCCTCCAAAAGCGCGAAAAGGCAGCCGATAAGTTTGATCGACCAATTGAATCGATCGATGAACATTACAACTCCGATATTGAAAGTCGAATTGAGATCGAGGCCAAGATCGCAAGGTTGGAAGATAGGATCGCGGAGATCAACATCAAAGCAGAGGAGAAACTGATCGAGTCAAGTGAGAACAAGATTGGCGAGATTGAAAAGAGACGAAGAAAGGACTTGGAAGAGGTTGAGAAGGATCGTGTCAGGTTGATGGAGAAGCATGGTAAGGCTATTGCAAAGGTGAATAAGAAAGCCGAGAAGAAGGATGAGAAGGATGAGAAGAAGGTGGCTAAACTGGAATGGATCATGATTCGAACTATTTAGATTTCTTCCTTTATATCGCTATATAGATGTCGTATCACTTGATTAGAATTACGCTCGATGCCTTCCATTCTCTTCTTCTCCCGATCTCAAATCCATGCGTCCCAGCAATGACTCCATTCATGATCTTTTCAGCCCCTTTCTCCTCTGCACTGCCCGTTTCGAAGTTCATACTTGCTATTTGCAGCGGGAATATGAATAATAAGGACTCAGTGCTGTGAGACTCGTGTCCAAGACACGATGCTGCTAGCTGGCATATCTCAGTGGCAATTGCTTTCCTGACTACTTTTCGATCTTCGAGAATAGATGGAATTTCGGCCACTAGAGGAATGTTGAAGAAGGTGCAGAGGCCTGTCATGCAGAGTATTATTGCTCTTTGTAACGCAAGAAGTGCTTTGTGTCTGACCGGATGCGAAGTGCTGTCTTGTGTTGAAGTGAGAGGAGAGCCAGTGAGAGGCCGAGGGTGCTGATAGAACTGCTCCCAGTCTTCTAGATCCGACAATGTAGTCTCGACTCGTTGCCGAAGTTCTTCAAAGAACTCGTTGTCAACTTCGCCTCTTTGTACACGATCCATGTCATGCAACTGGCCGGGGACGCGGGCAAAGATATCGTGTAGGGCATCACTAGCCGTCTTTGGTACAGTCGATGGCCAGGGGACTGTCTGCCACTCTGGAAGTGTGAGATAGCAATGCTTTCTATTTATAAGTGCGCACAATATCTATTGCAGTCAGCTTTGTTCCAATTAAGAGACACATTTCATACTATCTCAAACCGGCACTGTCTGAGGAGTTCCCTTTCCAGGACTGTTTGGTGTCTCCATGGCCCTCTCAGCTTGACCTTCATGTCGACGGTTTAGTATGGACTCCAGTCTCAATGCGATCACAGAACTCACCAACTGGGTTATTCCCTCGTAGTGCTTCAGCCATCCCGTCTTATCCGTAAAGACGATGTTCTCAAACATACACAAACAAATTACACTGGCAAGCGTGTCCCACTCGAGAACGGCGGTTGAACTCGCCAGGTCAAGTTGCACTCTGTTCAAGGCCTTTACATACTCCCTGCTGCCTAGGTCAAAGATCCTCTTATCACTGTTCGTTTTGCCAAAGTACACGGCTGCTAGTGCTCTCACTGCAAGAGAACGTGTCGAATCCGACAATGTGATGGATTCGAGATTGGCCATCAAGGGCGTAACTTCATCGATCCGCGATAGTAGGTGAGCATGAATTACGGCATCTTGATCCAGTAACAGTGGCGGCGGACGCCAGATCTGTCGTTCAGTGGCCTTAGCAGACGGACTGGCAGGTTGAACCTGGAGCTGGCTGTCGTTCAAAGGCGATTTATCTTTCGCGAATCGCGTCGTCTCATCAACAAACTCGCCGTACGTGACATAGCCTTCACAAGCTATCCCTGCTTTCTCGCATCGCTGACAGTTCGGCTTGCCGTGATCTACAGTGAGCGTCAGTCAGCGCGTCTCTTGAAGCGACATCCATAGGGACGATACCGCATTTTACGCGTCTTCGCTTGCATGTCCTACACGCTTTACTGCGACCTCCGCGATTAACCATGACGATGAGTTCGAGCTTGCTCAAGCTGACTGTCCAACGACGCGTTCAGGATGAAATGAGGGGACATGTCAGATGGGATTTGCCAAGATTGCGCCACAGAAGAGTCGTCATCATCCTTGGTTTGAGCACGGCGTCAGTGATGGCCAGCTCATCACCAGATATCTTGGCCTTCCGGAGTTGGGAGAACTAGAGAAGCATTGTCTTGGTTTGCGGCCGCAGGCACTGACAGATTCGCATAAAATGAAGCGCGTCATCGGGGACCCAGATACCTCTCAATTGGCTTCTCACTCAGCGGCGCAACACAATTGAGGCCGCGGACACCGAAGACTGTAAAGTAGGACAAGAGCATATTAATGTTATTTTTTATTTGCGTTAATCCTGCAGGAATAGGATTGAGTGGCCATGTTGCCGAACTACAAGTCAATCGGTTCGATAACCGAGATAGAAGTTGGCCGCAAGCTGACAGGGGACCAGAAAGAGAGCTGCGCGAAGAATCCTTATGCACTTTGCAATATGAGAGCATACTACCCTTTTACAACGCTAGTATATGCTACAGTAATGACTGTATGATCTTCCATTGATCTTGGTATCGAAGTTATGTACAGATCTTAAGATCTTAATCTTGGCCATCTCAAGTTCAGCCCTACCCTATGGCCCCCAAAATCACGAACCAACGCCTACTAACGTCGACTCCCGACGCTGATACCGCCCGACCCCTCCCTCTCCTTTCCGCCCCGCCGCCCTGTTTTATCCCCTGTAGCAAATTACGGTCCCACCAATGACCACCGGCTGCCAAGTTTTAGGCACTTCCTTCCAATCCATCACCGCCAGAGCATCCATTTCATCATCCCCTGCCAAGCCATCACTGGAAATTAAGTAATGAATTGCACTGCGGGGCTCTTAACCTCCATCGTTTCACTGGACACCAGGATCATGATCATGACCACTCAGTCCATGTCAATTCAATTCAATTCAATCAATTCTCTAGATGCCCTTCCTTATTCTACCGCAACTCCAAGTATCCTGAATTATACACAGGTGATATGATATGCTGTAATACAACTGCAAAAATTAATGATGCCACTCTATCCGTATTACCAATTACATTGTTTCTTTCTGTTTCGTGTTCTCGTCATTGCGCGTGCTTTTTGATGCTGCTCCGATACCCTGGTGTCGCCCCTTGGCAGAAATAGTGGTCAAGCACCAACTCCTCTGCCTTGATGTCCAACCATCCAGGCGACGAGTCGCCAATGCCAAAGCTCAGCCAGATCTCGTCGTCCAAGTACCCGTGACTTCTCTGCGTGGGCTGGTCGCCATGATACACCATGCTTCCTGTCCAGATGTACCTGCTGTTGGTTTCGCCGTGGTAGGTGAGCTTCTTGCTGACGCTCATCATGTGGTATGGCGCGACGGGCGAGTAGACGACTATTCGGTGGTCGTACCATGTGTTTGTGTATTGAGGAGGATCGTAGCGCATCTGCACCATGCCCATAAGGACCGTGTTGTTCTCCATCGGCTCGCAAGCCCCGCGATTGCATAGCGTGAGGCTGAGCATGGGCGTCGATTGATGCACGCGCTTGTCGGTGAGCATGACGTCGTTCATACAGGTCTTTTCGGCAGAGTGCCATGTCTTCTTTTCGTTATCGGGAGGGAAGGGTTCGTCAACGGCGGATTCGGGCTCAGCTTCCATGTTCTGGACAGGATCGTTGGTCGAGTTGAAGCGGTACAGCTGGCTAGGCTCTACCATGAACATCATCTCGTCATCATCGGCGCTGAAGGGAGAGTAAACAGGAGCCCAATTCTTCTCGCGTTGGTATCGGGCGTCGGATTCTTGGCCCTCGGGGGGCTGGCGACGGAGGAGAACGGGTTTGTCGAATTCGATCCCAGGGAGTTCTTTCGCGTGCTTACCCATTTGCTTGACGAGCTCGGGCACAGCTGCACGTGCATCGACGATGTACATACCCTCGCAAAGGTTCTCGTCATCTACCTGGTGGGTGAAGATGAGCATTGGAGTACCATTCTTCCTCCAGAACAACTTCATGTCCTCAGGTCCGATGTATTTATCCATGTCGGGCTGGTTCTTGCAGTGATGCTCAGGACCCTGGGCCTCTGTGAAGTCCTCCACAAGCATTTTATGCCAATCGTTGTCCGCAGTGAGCTCCGGCCGGCCGAATGCATCCCATGTAAGGCTAACGAAGGTGGCGACTTGCTGAGCTCGTCTGTATTTCTTGCCCTTGATATCTTGGTCGACGTGGGGAGCGCGCGCAATGACAAGGAAGTCGTGCTTGCTGCCCTTGGGCAATTCAAGAAGGGTAGGATTCATAATCTTCTGGCCCGTCTTCTTGACATTTATAGAGTTGTAGAAACCCAAGTTATTCCGTGTACTCGTGAGGAGGCGGTAATCATTGGTTCGAGAGAGGAGAGGATCGTAGCCGGAATGTCCATTGCCGAATAGTCTGTCGCTCATGGTGAAGGTAAGGATCATGACGACGAGGAGGGCTGTTGTCGTCACGTAGAGAATGATGCGCCGCGGGTGAGGATGGGGAATGCGAATGCTCGAGAGGCGCACGCTCAAGTTGCGCAAGCTGTTGGGCAAGCGCATATTGGAGACGCGCATCTTGAATTGAGGGAGCCGCGTCAGCTGGCGAAGAGAATTGGAGCGAAAGACAGGAGGCTCAAGCCTCACATTGAGGAACAGAAGAAGACCTGTCTCGATTCGTGCGGCCGCAATCGGGCTCGACTCGTTTGATGTAGCGGTGGTGCTAGAAGTACAAGTAGGTAGAGAAAAAGACAGCGCCACGAAGAAAATAAAAGACGGCAAAAGAGCGGATGAAAGAAAGATGGAGACAAGGTGAGGCGAAGTGATGTCCAGTGTTGACACGATGGAAGGATTGGACTTCTTGCAGGCGAGCGCCCCCCTAAAACAAGCATAAGAAGGAACCCACGATTTCAACAGACTTTTTTTTCTTCTGGTTAAAGGGGAGGGGGGGTTACAGGGCCTAGCAGGGGTGAGGGCCACTAAATCTAGAGTTATTTTTCAGAGGGAGCTTCGATTCCCTGACATCCTGTTGGCCAATGCGTCATAGACTGCGCCACAATTGGTTGATTCCCTCCAGAGCTCTCCACTGCCGCTGGTACCACATCCAGTGAAAGAACAGGTTCGAGACATGAGCTTGTTGATCAGTGAGTTCTTTTTAAACTTGTTTGCGTCTCAGACATCGGCGATTATACCACGTGGGGCCTCTCATCTCAGATCAGACAGAATGTTCGTGATGTTCAGACACAAAATCTGTCAATTGAATGCGAAGTCGTGGCACAGAGCGTTCTAGATTTGGATGCGGAGAAGGCCTGCAATACAGTGCATGAACAACAAATGCTCACGTGGATGGTTGCCAGATTAATACGGTATCATCATTCGCACAGTTGCAACGCCAAGTCTGCTCACGCACCACCAAATAAATCTGTGGAGATCATCAACATGGAATTGTAGATTTGCCAAGGTGATAATCCACCTTTTTCCGTCTCTTCTAACATATGAATCAGCCCTATGGCGAACTCTATTTCTCATACATTCTGGCCGAGCTCATACATGTGCATACTGTATTGATTGTCGCAGAACATTTTGAGGTGGTGTTGCATACGTCAACACTGCGTAGCTGTTAAGGTCTGGACTCTTCGTTAAGGCCTTGGCGGCATCAGAAGGACTGACTGCCTAAGCGACGACCAAGGAGGGCCAGTTCGTTGCGCCTCTTTATATTCCTCCACCCACTCACTGACAGTCATAGTGATGGATGGGCTGAAGCGAGACGCGTCATCCCCCAAGCTGAGATCGTTCGGCAACTTCCAATACGGGACGCAGATTGACGCTGCATCTTCGGATTCCTGTTTTCAGCTTCGTTAGGCTACGAAGTTGTGATTCTCGGGTCAGTGATGACTTGATGAGGCAAAGTGTTTGCATCTTTCTCTAGTTTCGCAGTAATGTAAAGAGAACCTAGTCATAGAACTTGAGTTTGTTATTGTGCTATCCGAACGTAACCTACCCACGAATTAGCAATGACATATTAGATGAGAATTCGATAAAAACGCTTGATTGAGGAGTCATGGTTCTCCTGTATATGTCTTCCATCCTCCTGTCAGGAGCCCCCTGGTCCGAGATTACTGGCTCAGTCATGAGTACAGCATGACCTACAGCCCTCCCAGTTTCGCAAACTCCATGAGTTTCCAATGAAAGCAAGGCAAAAATACTGTCAACCGCCTCTTTGAACCATTTCAGAGAAGCCTTGCCGTAGACCGAAACCCACTAGCCAGGAGTTGGTGCTGCAACTCTTCGTAGCCATGTCGTAGAAAACAGTAATACCAACTGATGCGATTTGAGTGAGCTTTACCAAGTCTCTGGCTGTTGAACTCCGCTACTCTTGCGATGCTTTACTTGATCAGCAGCTTCCACCAGATCTCGGCTGTCCGTTGTCAAGCTCCATTGCAGAGGCGTACGTCCATGGAATATCACAGTGAGAACCGCGATGCCAGAAGAGACCGCAGTGGGAAGAATAAGGCACTTCCTGTGAGTAGGTTACCTTTGATCATAGCGGTACAGACGGTCCCTGATGCGAGCTTTGCTGTCGGAATTTACTCATGGCAGACTGGAGAGCTGGCCCAACAACAATGTTGTACCAGGGAGGCAGGCTCTTCATGGCTTGGTTATGTGATGAGTGACTCGGAGATATCCCACAGACATGTTTTATTACTGCGCTTGACCCTGAAACATAAAAAGGTTCATATTGAGGCCTTTCAGAGCAGGGAGGCTGTTCAACAGACTGGACTTTGCGGACTGTTTTGGTAAACGAGGAGACTGTCAACTGAGGCTGAAGTTCTTGGCCTTGAGTAAGAAGGTAGAGACTTATCGAGGCCTTGAGGAGCAAGAATGTAGAATAGCAAGTTCCTATTTAAACCCCAAGGCAGTACAAAGGAGGAGCTCGTCAATAGCCAAAGGCCCATCATAAGTCTATATGGAATCTGAAGCCACTGAAGGACACACTGGAGACTGTTTGCGGGTGGGCCTTTCTCTAGTATGGCTTATATCTTGATGTAACTTCTACCGTTGAAAGTCTTAACAGACCGTGACGGCTAGAAGTACTATTTTAGATCTCAAAGAGACAAGATGAGTTGGTACTCGTAAAGTTGGCAAACCATATGCAACTGAGAACTTGTTTTCCTATTAACATTATACGTGCTCCATGTGAGTATGATGAAAGTCGCCCACGAAGCTCGCACCAATTTACCAATACTCCTTGAGCATGCCGAGGGCATCATAGAACTGATAATCATCTAAAACATGGGCGATATAGGCTTGAGGGCTGCCGGTATCATAATCAGACTCACCATGCTCTTAGGGCCAGGTATAAGTACCGCTGCGTTGATAACTTGGCATTGAGAGATGATAAAATAAGCAAACAATAAGTGAAGGCAGTGAGAGGTCTCGATACATGAAATATGAGACAATAATCCCTCCAGTCGAACATCAACAGTGTTAACAAGAGTGAGCTGTTTGCTAAAACGCCCAAGGCAGGACATGATACAAAAACGAAACAGCTCCTGATGCCAAAGATCTATGAGAAGTCTGGAAAATTCTCCCAGCAAATGGTTCCGTTCGAACCAACTCAAAGGACGGAAGCCATATTCTGAGAATGGTTGAAGTGGCCTAGTTGCAACAACCTCTAGTACAGCCAGCAAACCTAAGTGCAATGTTAATTCAACGAGATGCCTGCTCGTTACTGCTTGAGTATAAGAGAAATAAGAGCCCGAGTTAAATGTGAGGCGATCAGAGAGCAAAAAGGGAAGGCGCATGCAGATGAGAGATAAAGGGATGGAAGAGTTGTAGTGACAGTGGAGATGTAACGTACGAGTTAGCGAGACACAAGCAATAGCCAAACGATGCTTTTCGGATGTCGTGAAGAGTATGAAGTAATGTCAGAACTGCTCATCTGCCGAAGCTTCATCAGAGACCCGCGCTTCAGGCGACTTGGCATAATTGGCAGATCCTGGTTACCTGGATCTTGTCAGTGCTATACCGGCATCTGAAGTGGTTTTCGAGTCAGTAGCAGAAGAGCTCTGCTACGTAACTTTAGGACGCATGGCGTGTAGCTCTCTCCCTTTCTAGAGGCTCAAGTTTGGGATCTCAAAAAGGAGAGGTCAAGAGAAGAACGACTTCATCCTGAAGTGCAAACGGATGTAAGACTCACGAGGGGCTCCATGAAACCTTCAATTGATGGTCCAGGAACGGCATGCCCGATAGGAAGGAATCTTGGCGGAGGGCCGATTGAGCAATGCCGAGAAGAAGATGCTGCCGTAATCCCTCTTGGCCAAATGCCGAATTCCCTTTTGGTCGTTCTCCATAAGCCAAACTTACCTGTCATATCTATCCCACTTCCCCTTGTTCAAGACCAGTTTTAACTTGCAACTGTTTCTTGGCAGGTCCTTTCTTTGTATTCCGCTTCGGACCTACAAGTAATCACCGCGTGTGATTCTTGTGCAGAAATCTGACCATTTCTGTAGCATAGTTGACTTACAGCGCTATAGGTAGCATCTTAACAGAGGCATGGGGGTTAATTAGGCATTCAAGGGCACCGTTACGTTGCATCTACTATCAGCGGGATCTCCGTAACCAGATGTTAAAGATTATACAGAAGAGGAATGGCTTGACAGGCCGTTGACGGTAGCTATATACATCCTGGTCAATACCCCTGTGCTAGTCTGAAGATCGATTGACCTGACGTTTACACGTGCTTCAGGGCTGAGCCTTGGCGTCAAACCGAGGTTATGACAACGTCTTTATGATTACCTGCCTATTTCAAGATAATCGACTTCACTTCAGGAAGCTCAGTCGATTTAGTTCATGAAGATCTCTCGTAAACGGCAACTTCCATATAACAAGGTTTTCAACATTTGTCGCGATGGTTTCACTCAATCGAGTCCCTTGGCGTCCCTGCTGCGCCGCATCCCTGCTTCATCACCAACGGACCTATAACCGCCCACGTCGCAAATGCGAATGATACCATCAATTATCTGGCAGCCAACGTTTAACCGTGATTCGCCTATCAATCTCGTCCCTTTTTCGCATCCCATTAAACCCATCAGCCTATTGCATGCCACCAACCCATGTAACCACTCACCTGAGATGTTATTCCCACCGTCAGACACCTTCCCCATTTCGACTAGAGCCATGCATGTGATGGTCGGCATTTGCCGTACTGACAGCTCTAAGGGTTCTAATGGTCCAGAGCTGAACTGCTAGTGGACTGTTGTGCTATACCTTTGGAAATATGGTATACCTACTTTCCTAATCTGTTGGCTGCCAAGTCACCGTTGGGACGAACTCTATTCCCTATTCACTAGCGTCGGTATTGAGCTGGTCTGTTATATCTTGATGCCATCTCTCATCATGTTCAGCCCATCACGCTCACTTCCAGGCATCGCCTTGTCACTCATTCAACAAGTCTCTCGTTTTTCACCATGAGAACCTCGTTCTCGTCCATTCTTTTCAGCCTTTGGCTCCTTTGCCTTGGCGTGCTCGCACACGACGAGTCATGCGGTTGCACTGTCAAGTACATCGTCGTTGAGATGCCTAGTCAGACAGTCGCTGCTCAGACCAAGCCTCCGACAGTCACTTCTGTGCAAACCAAGCCCACTAATATCCGATCCAAACCCAACCAGACGACTGTTCGCGCATCTTCAACTTCCGCTCACCACAACACCACGGCGACTTTCCTTCCCAAGCCCCCCGCAAAGGTCGACTTGAGCAACCCCGAAAATGCGGTTCCCAAGAAGAACATCTCCATGTCTTACGGCGATGTTGAGAAGCCCCGCAACCAGACTTTCCCTGCGCTTAACACGACTGCTCCCAAGGGAGCCATCGACATGGACCTCGTCATGAACCATCCAGCAGTTGTTCTGGATCACATTGACGCTATTGTCTCGGTCGAGTGTACGGCCGATTTCGTCAAGGTCCAGTTCGGAAAGTCTGCTGCTTTCGAGAAGGCCATTGATACTTGGTCAGACGACGAACCCTTCATTCTCATTACGAACAACATGGGCAATTGCAAGACCGACATTGGCCAAGCTTTCTACCTCGTTGATGGCGTTACTACAGACAAGGGTGATAAGACCATCACTTGCCATGCTGCTGAGCAAGAGCTGGCAGATATCGCTGGTATGTTTCTCTCACAGAATGAAAGACAAGACTGACCTTCAGAAGAAACCTGCGAAATGTCATTCACTTCTATCCCTGCAACCAAGTTGACGAAGCGCCTTACATTGAACCCCAGTCTTTCTCTCAACTTCGGTACTGGTCTTGAGAGAGATACTGTCCTTTTCCAGGAACAGCCATGGGTGACCATCAAGGCCGAGAAGGCAGAGTTCTCTTCCACAGTCTCCTTCTCTGGCCGCGCCAAGTACAACTTCTGGCGCTTCAAGGTACGTGACTCTGGAGCAATGAGGAGCCTGATTTACTAACTTGAGTAGATGGAACATCTCTATTTCGATCTCGATACCCATTTCTCAGCCGATGTCGCCTTAGCCGCTGATGTAGCCGCAGCTTGGTCTCGATCTATCCTCTACGACCCTGATACTCTCACATACACCCTCGTTGAAGTTCCTGGTATCCTCTCTCTCGGACCAGGCCTGTCTTTCGCTGTTGGAGTCGATGTTGATACCTCAGCTGCCGTTGCCGTCAGAGCTGGCGCCGGTATTGCTATTCCCGCCGCAAACGTCCATCTCGATTTCCTCGACTCGGGCAAGAATGCCGCAACTGGTTGGGAGCCCCAGTATACATCTTACGCCAACATCACCGAGAGCGTTGAGGTCGGCTTGAACGCTAGTGCATCGCTTACTGTTCAGCTCACCTTCAAGCTTCTCGGAGGCCTAGTTGATCTTAGCAGCGGACTCACAGCCACTCCTGAGTTTGTGAACAAGTTCACTTTGGATGCCGCTCAATCGGCCCATGCTTCAAATGACGGTGCTGGAGTCAATCTCTTGGATGCCGAGAAGGTAGCTCCTGCCGCGACGCCCGGCTCAGAGCTCGCTGCTGTGAATGAGCCCAAGGACTGTGGTGTTTCTTTCAAGTCCGACTTTATCTTTGACCTGGAGGGTTTTGCGACAAAGTGGTGGAAGGCGAATCTCTATCACGTTGAGGTTCCCATCACGGATGTGTGTTATAATTTCCAGTAGTAATACTTGCAAACAAGGACTGCTTGGCATAGATGGCAGTTTTAGTCTTAGTCTCATAATTATCATATACCCTTTGTGCGAACAGCCTTTAGCCTGAATTTGTTTGCGTAGGCATCTAGAATAAGTCTGACAACATTACGCCACTCAATCCAGGCATCCAGATAAAAGCGCACCATAAAACTAAACCGTCTGAGACGATGAGATATATGGCAATAGTCTATCCAAGTCGGTAATTTCTCGTAAAAAAATGGCTGCGCAGGATACGTCTGATCAAATCCGTCAACAGGTGTCTGCATGGCTCAACACCACGCCATATGCAGCGTCTTTACTCGAACCTTTGGCTGGTGGACAAGCCAACTTTACATATCGCGCTCACCTGATCAACCCACTAAACGATGGCACAGCTGAGGTCGTTGTCAAGCATGGCGAGCCTTATATGGCGCGTCACCCCGCCAATGCCGTCACTGTCAACCGATGCGTGAGTGAATTAAGGATAAAGGAAGGGGTTTGCTGACATGATAAAGGACGTCGAAGGAGAAATCTTGTCAGAATTATCTACGAATCCCATAGATGTGGCTCAGTCTGGAAGTATTACATACGCCGTCAGAACAACAACGTCTCATGCCTACGATGCTGAGACCAAGACGTTGGTACTAGAGTATCTTCCCAATGTTGTAGATCTCAGGACCTACTCTCTGAACCACTTCCCATTCCCGACACCTGAGTGCTTACGCAAACCAGCCCATGAACTGGGCAAAGTGCTGGCGATATACATGGTCAAATTTCATGACATGGCCAGAGAGATTGTTCAGAACTCGCTTAAACAGAAGCATACCCAACAGCTATCAGGCTTCAACAGGGCGATTGATAGCAGCAATGACATGCAGAGGCTAAAACATTGGATTAATTTCGATTGGATGATCGATCGTGTTGACCAGTTCCCTGGAATTCTGTTGGAAGCAAAGGACACACTCCATCTTGTCAAAAACATGGCACTGAAGGAGCTGAGCGACCCGTCTGCAGACTTGACACTGATTCATGGCGACTATCACCCCCAGAAGTGAGTCCATCTCCAGCCCTTTGGATCCAAAGTTAATGACTTGAAAGTATCTTGCTGGAAGATGCCCGTCTTGAGCCGGCAACTACTAGAACCTTGTACGTGATCGACTGGGAAAATTCACAGGTCGGTGTTCCAAGCCTCGATCACGGCGGCATGCTAGGCGAGATTTATGTCCTCTGGAAATACAAAAACATCGACGCTGGGCTATGGATGCTCCAAGGCTACGCTGAGGGGCTGGGGCCTCAGACTGAGGATGCTGCATGGCGAGTGGCCCTTCAAGTAGGGGTACATCTTTTGAGTTTTGGTACTTTGGCATCGGGCTGGGGTACGACTGAGGAAGTGGAAGATATGGCTCGTCTGGCAAGAGATGTTATTGTCAAAGCTTGGACTAGAGATAGGAGTTGGTTTGACAAGAGCGATTTTGCCTGCTTGTTTGCAGGTACTCCTCAAGATTGAGGACAGCCTCAGATATTCGGGGTAGCAAATCTCATCGGTCATGGTTACTCAAGAGCCTCAATCGATGACCCAATTTTTAAGCCTGGTAGTGACACTAGAATCGCCCAAGATCGTGACATAATCAGTGGATATTGACGAAGCTTGTTGCCCACGGTAGTGACCTCCAATGCCGGCATCACTCAATTGCAGGGAAAAGAAATTAGTATGATGCTCAGGACCACGTCTGAGTTGTACAAACAACCCGATCACGAATGATATGGCTCGGTTACAGCTGGGCACTCGTCTACAACCCAATCAAGTTGCCGTATATACGCGTCGTTAAGAATCTCGATGAGTTTGTTAACAATTTCTTGATTTGAGCTGATGCCAAGTCCACCTGCTCGGATAATGCGGCCTCGGCTGACGGCGTTTCAATATGGAGCCGCAAATCCCCGATCCAATCAGATACAGTGATCTTCAAAAACTGCAAGGAACAAAGTCGATACAGACAGGTTTAGCTGTTGACTTATTTTATGCTGTGACGTCAAAGGCACAGCCAGAAACATGGGCTTTTTGACAACAAACATCACCAATGATCTCATATCCTCACTAAGCATAAATTAAATAAAATAGCTAGAAACTCAATTGAATTTTTGATCTTCAGCGCATTCAGACTCGTTGTGACCTCTCGCTAACTCACCATGGCTCGTCAAAATACCCTGAGCAAGGCTCTTGTAGGCCTACTGCCTCTCGCTTCAGCAGCTTCACTCAACTCCGAGTACACCTTCAATCCTCTTCACCATCTCGCTGGAATTGCTCCATACTTCGAGCCCCAAGACCCTCCCGCTTCTCCCGATGCGCCCCAAGGCTGCACTCCCGAACGCGCTGCGTATCTCGTGCGACACGCTGCTATTTATGCCAACGATTTTGACTTTGAGGAGTACATTGAGCCATTCATTGAGAAGATTCAGAACAAGACCAAGATCGATTGGAGCAAGATTCCTTACCTGAACTTTTTGGACGATTGGGAGCCACCCATTTCCGACGCCGAGGTTTCGCTTTTGACCAACGTGGGAAGACTTGAGGCCACGCGATTGGGAGTTGATCTCGAGTTCCGATACCCCGAGTTCAAGCAGCCCAAGAAGGTCTGGACATCTTCTGCCGAACGAACCGTCAAGTCCGCCCAATCTTTCGTCCGTGGTCTTGAGTCCGACGATAAGTCTATCAAGGTCGAGACCATTTATGAGTCAGAAGAATCTGGTGCCGACAGCCTGACTCCCTACAAGGCTTGCCCCGCCTACGATGGCTCTACCGGCAGTGATGAGGCTGAAGTCTACCAGAAGAAGTACGCTAAGCCGATCGTCGATCGCTTCAACGCTCTTGCATCAGACTTTAACTTCACTGTCAACGATATCTTTGGCATGCAGCAGCTTTGCGGCTACGAGACTGTTACTCGCGGAAAGTCGCCGTTCTGCAACCTTGAGCTTTTCACTCCCGATGACTGGCTTGGCTGGGAGTACTCCGAGGACGTACGATATCACTATAACGCTGGATACGGTAACCAGATCTCTGGTTACGTCGGCATGCCCTGGCTCAACACTACAGCTGGTCTCCTCCTTGGTGATGATTCCGATGAGGAGCTTTACGTCAGCTTCACGCACCGTGAACTGCCTCCCATGGTCCTCGTCGCGATGGGTCTCTTCAACAACTCCGAGCCCGCCGGCACAGAATCTCAGATCAACGACACCATGCCTCTGAGCAAGATCAACTACCGTCGCGCTTGGAAGAGCTCTCACGTCCTACCCTTCCTCAGCAACATCGCCATTGAGCGCCTCAACTGCACCAACACCTACGGCTACGAGGATGGAGAGTACTACCGCGTTTTGGTCAACAGTGCGCCTCAACCTCTACCTTACTGCGAAGACGGCCCCGGAACAAGCTGCACCCGAAAGAGTTTCGAGGAGTATGTTCAGGACAGAGTCGAAAGGTTTACTGGCTTCTCAGAAAAGTGTGGAGTGGAGTACGATAACTCTACTGACATTCTGTCCATTTACAACAATTAATGATAATCATGAGTATGTAACTTTAATTGAAATACATCTAATATTCATCATCTTCGATTTGACGGTGCCACCCCTTACGAACCTTGTGGCTGAGCGTAGAGTTTTCAGTGCCCAGTGAGAGGGAACAAGACGTCGCTGCAGAAAGCTTAAATCGAATATGTCCAGGCATGATTTTACGCTTCGGAGTACTTGAAGGAAAAATGGTTGCAAACGTGGCTGTGAACCCAAAGTCCACTAGGCTCTGCTCTTCGAATCACGCCAGGGAGAGCAGATCTTGCAGTCTTCAAGACAACGGCTAACTCTCTTGATACCAGACGTAAAAGAAAGAAATTTGATCCATTTTGTTTATTAATCAGTATTGGTCTGTCAAAATGTGCTCAGATATTAAGCTTTCTTGTCCTGGGCTCTCTGGTGCGCTGATTCATCAGGCTTTGGAGCATGAACCTTCTCAAAAGGCCTTTGACCTTCGTCTATCAACATATGTACCGGGTAATTCGCCACATGAGACGACTATAAGATGCTCTACTCTCCCTGTGAGGTAAATGAGCTGAATATAATGGTAATCGTGCGCGCTTTTCTCTCATTAAATCGGCCATCACTCAACTGGCAAAAGGCCCAGAAACATCACGTCTGACAAAAGATCTCCACCAATGGCCCAATTGTGCACACTTCTCACGTATCAATATCGAATTGATCTACAGTCTAGATGGAACGAGAAAATGATACAGAGATAATCTCTGAAGGTCGGAGTTTCACTCTCTTCACTGACTACCCCCAGAGATACGCCTGATGATATGGGGAGTGGCCTCACCTGGGGATGTATAGCCTTGGTCGAAGATATGCGAGATTTGGGACTTGAAACGAGGCCAAGACAAAATTGTAACCTCACCCCGAACGAAAGTCTATATGAACCTCCTACGCTGTTGTCGCGAATCTTGTCGCCTAGCTCTCAGGAATGGAAGTCTCGTGACACTCAAGAGCCTTGTACCAGGCAATGGGCCGCCAAATCATCCCTTTCGAGCTGCGCTATCTCGACAAAACACTCGCCGACACGATGGGTAACAGCTATGACCATGCACGTGTACCCATCGCTGGAGCATACATCACTAGGTAACGAGACGAAGGTGCTATCGATATCGATACAATTTACTTTGGGCTTGTGAACGAGATTCCTATGTACGTATTTCCACCGTTTGCATCACTTACTGTCGAAGAATTGCTAACGCATTAATTTACATCCAGTGACTACAAGGAGGACGGTAATGGGATGAGAGTCCAAGTTTTATCACCGAGGTTTGGAGGTGTTCGTATGATAAAGCCCAGGAGATCTGTGCCTCGACCATGCAGACAACAGGCCATTGTGTTAAATCAGAAGTGTATTTTCTAACCTTAGGATTGACTCATAAATCTTATACCTGTGGGGGCAGTCAAATGAGTCATCTTTTAGGTTTTCATGATACCAGCTTTATGCTGTAGCAATTGGTCAGACATTGTGGTATAATGTCTAAGTTGTGAGCCAGATGTGTTATTTGCAGTTGAGACTTGTGGCTGAGAGCTTATATCAGCACAGAGAACTTAGCAGACAACAGGATATCGAGACCGAGTACACGAGGTACCCGGAGCCGAGTAACGAGTCAGAAATATTGGAATAGTATTTAAGTAGTAAGCTAGATTTGTTATTTGTAGTTGAGACCTGTGATTGAGAGCTTATATCACCACACAGAACTCAGTACCAAGAACCAGATGCAGTATTTTGGATGATGCCTGGAAAATTTGGCTTTTTGTAATGAAAATCACGGCTCATATAAGCTATTAGAGATTCTGAGTGACATATGTTATGTAAAGTCTGAGTAAGAATGCATCTTTTCATAATGCCTCTGGCTTCGTATATCACGTTGAAATGCTATAAACCCTTTTCAACAAATCATCGCCTGAGAGAGAGAAAGCACTGCAAACAAACACTCACCTGGTAGAAGAGAATATTCAATCATAGAACCATGAGAAAAGAAGCCTTTCTGAATATTCACCGTGAAAATAATAGCCTGCCTCTATACCTAATAATCCCAAGACTTTATCTCTTTACTTTCACGAATGAAGCTAGATTAGAAACTTCGGATTTTAGACGATAGGGGTGGGATTAAAACACTTTTAAGTTACCACTATATAGGTTTGGAACAGTAACGCTGTTGAAATCTTTCAAGTTTGCCTTGATATCGCCTGTCACAAGCTTTTCGACCTGGTCCAATATCTTCACTACTTCCATTTCGACCACCTTCTTCACGGTCTCGCGAGTAAAAAGCCAAACTGGACTTTGTTTTCTAGATCTCAGTATACTAGATGTTAAGTATAATCATAGTTTATAGTAAAGGGATAGCAGAAAGCTGAATTGACAAGAGTTGAAGTTGACTGGAGAGATCACAAGACTGGGTGCTCTTGGAAGCAATGCTTGAGTTTCTGTTGCTTTAATATCGTGCTTGTTGCCTAAAGGATATCAGAGAAGGTTCTGGTTTAGGGCACTATTCTGAAACGTCTCATTAGCATTGTGTACTCTGTCAGAATATCACGACCAAGGACACAAAAACATGCTCGAAATTCTTTTTGGTCTGAGAATTCCGTGATGCATATGAGTGTTTCTCGCCCCTTCAACTCTCAAACCTTGCCTTTCCCTCCTTTTCTTCTTCTCACATGTCAAATAATTTAAATCTCACACAAAAACGCGCACAAAGGTATCTATCTCTCTACCCCTGTCTTCAAGCTACCCATAGCGTTTTTCGAACCATGGCTCCTGGTTCTTACGGACGTCCCTACCAGGACAGGCCGCCCACTCCCAGGAGGCCTGCTTGTCCCGTTTGTCCTGTATGTCCTGCTCCTCCTGGGTTTGCTCCTAAGAAACATCTTTCTCCTGCTGTTCTTCAGCTTGTCTACGACCGAAGAAATACAAGTAGGTTCAAGCCATATCCAGTTCCCTTAGGGGCTAGACTCTAACAGCATGCACATTCTGCAGAGACTGACCCCAGAGGAGCGGTGAGCACGCTTAAATACTTTATGTTTCATTCAACACGCTAACACTTGTCTTCTCAGGGACCCTATCATGCAGACGCACACAGATGCTATGGCTGCAGGACTCGGCGGATGGAAGAAGAGCTTGTCTGTCAGGGTATGGGATACAATAATGATAGTCACTTTACTGTACAAGTCCGAAGTCACTGTCAAGTGGGCTTATGAAACTGAACACTTCGATTAGATAAGTTTGGAAAGGATTGTTTGAACAGGAATCTCATGTACACGGCGAGCTCGTCGACCCCGTTGGTTTAGGATCCTATAGATACGGGGCAATTAATCGAGATTTGACTCATATATACCTTTTATTACTCTGATGATATTGTGTAGGTTTGGATACCAAACCGTAAGGCTACTTGTCAGAACTCTACGACCAAAAAGGTTCTCATAACAAAACAAAGCCACATGGTAAGAGTCCATTACGTGTTTCAAGATTCTGCATGAAAAGCTTAAAGAAAAATGACCAGAACATCTCTTGTATAAAAGCCCCCCCCCCCC